AATTATTGTGATTGTGTCAAGATTTTAGTTACAATAATTAATACGAAAAATTTACATCTATAGCTCTAGTTTTTTAATATTGTCTGAACATTTCACATACAAAACATCTTGTGAGGCGTACCTGTCTGACGAGAACAACATAAAATTGACCTCATATTGATAGTTCGATCAGAAATCAGCATTAGGTTATTATAAGTCTCTCCGTTATTATAAGGCATATCGTGGTTGTTATTTCACTTCCTTGGTTCATTGATTATCGCATATTTATTAGTTAGAAATATAGTCTATGGAGGAATATTCGGAAGCTAAATTATTGTTCATTCGGAACACCTATTCGTCGTATCTGTATTAGCTTCCTGCAATTAAGAGCACCTCCATACGGTGAATCTAAGATATTTAAAACATGGCAATAAAGAATTTTCGAAGATCGCTAATTCACTTATCTGATATATGATAATAAACAATCTATAGATCCTTTTCAAACATGTATATTTATTGTAAAGCTACATTCTATGCATAGCAAGGGTTTACTGACTTGAGCAAAGTTGACAGTTGTACCCTTTGATAAACAAGTGAAAGTTAAATGGTCAAGATTTAATTATAACGACCTATGGTATCAAACATCTGTGTCTAGATATTCACAGAGAGATATTTTAAAATAGTGATGTGGTCTCTACATAATGAGTTATACTGGGCTTTGGGATTTGATTTGTAACAAAAAAATCATTATGCACACTTGTCATTTTGACAAATCAGATAAAAAAAATCTGTTTCAAATGAAAATAAAACAAGTAAAATAAAGACTGCTCGTTAATATACATTTTTACTACTTTTACTGTTTCTGTTTTACAGTATTCTCTATCAATTAAGTTATCTTGTAAGTTAATTAAATGTTTATTTAATTCATTGATGTCACTATTATTTCAGTGACCGCTGCAGAAAGTCTTGACTCGTTCAAGAGACTACTGCATGCACATTAAATTTCAAGTCCCATGTTTTTATTTGCACCATGTATAAATGTTATGTACAGCACAAATTATTTCCTTTCTGTTAAAATTATTTTTGGACTTGTTCAGTAGGCAAGCGCACACCAAACAGTGACAGGATAGTCAACCAAATGACGGTGGTCACTTAGTGGTAGAAGTAGAAATTTCTTATATTATTCACACACTGTAATGCTCTTAATTTATGTGTATTTTGGATGTGCACTAGTGATTGGTAAATATTGATACGTTTCTGTGTTTTTAATATATGTGACTTATCATCAAGAATTTCATTATTATGGAATCGTTCACTTTTGTACACTTCGGTATCTAAATAGAGGGTGGTAAAAGGGAGGGTCTGAACACGGAAACACGTGAAATAACAAATCGCAAAAACGTTGCACGGAAAAAAAAACACTCTGGAAAAACGAAGCCAAGGAATAAAATCGTAAATATTAAGGAAAAAAATACCACATCGAACCAAACACGAGAAAACGAGAAATAAAACGTCGAAACACGGAAGCACGTGAAATTAAAAGGCAGAAAACGTTGCACGAAAATAACCCTTTACCACCCTCTAATTTAACAAATGCAGTTAAATCTATTTTGTTGTGAATCTTAAAAGTATATTCTCCTGTGTGTCAATAAATTCTAATGCATTGATAACAGTTTCTTCTAAATTATCAATGATCATATTTGTGTACATTGACGTACATCACAGGCAATAAGAATGCATACTTTTTTTTACCTCGTGTGACTCTATTTTATTAATGAAATTTTTTGTATCTTGAATGTAAAAGTTATGCCTCTTCAATAATTGAATGTTTGATGTGTACTAATTGATAATTTAGTCTTAGATGCATGACTTTTTTAATTAGTTGTTAGTGGCTTTGAACTAGCTGTCAGTAACTGCGAGTACTCTCAGATCTGTACTTAGTGTCTATTTGTTGTTGGGATATACAAGTACCCGGCCACGTCCACTCTGTGTAGTATTTCTGTTTGTATCCATCTGATGAGTTAAGCCTTTTTCAACTGATTTTTATAGTTCGTTCTTATGTTGTACTGTTACACCACTGTCCCGGGTTAGGGGGAGGGTTGGGATCCCGCTAACATGTTTAACCCCGCCACATTATGTATGTATGTGCCTGTCCCAAGTCAGGAGCCTGTAATTCAGTGGTTGTCGTTTGTTGATGTGTTACATATTTGTTTTTCGTTCATTTTTTGTACATAAATTAGGCCGTTAGTTTTCTCGTTTGAATTGTTTTACATTTGTCATTTCGGGGCCTTTTATAGCTGACTATGCGGCATGGGCTTTGCTCATTGTTGAAGGTCGTAGGGTGACCTATAGTTGTTGATTTCTGTGTCATTTGGTCTCTTGTGGAGAGTTGTCTCATTGGCAATCATACCACATCTTCTTTTTTATATTTATAATTAGATCAAGTAAGTATCTCTCGCGGGAGAGTTACACTTATTGATGATTGGTCGGTAACGAACATTAATGTGTCCTGCTAGCTGACCAAATCGCAATGCCTCATTACTTATTTCTAGATTAATTTTATGAATTTTTGGAAGAAGATACATGTGTCCTCCATGTTTTGAATTATTATTATTTTTTAAGAAATTATGCGTCTGGGAATCTTTTTTTTTTCTCTCCTTGCTTTATATTTAACACTTCTCTCAACATGCCAAAATTGTAATGATTTACAATAAAAAGAAAATATTATCCTCCACATACATGGCCAAGATAACACTGATATATAATTTCTTATTCATTTGAATTAATAATTAGAATAAAAAAAGTTCTAAGGTTCACGTATTGTCTTTTTTTTTAAAGCAACTTGTTTTGTCATTAAATCAGATGTGCAGTCTCGTATGTGATAGGTCCCTTTCTCCTTCATCTTTCTGTAACTTCCTCCTGTGGTTAAGAGCACATCAATTGCTTGATTTTATATTTAGTTCATTGAATCTTAGTAACATATACATAAGATTGAGAATGGAAACGGGGAGTGTGTCAAAAAGAGACAAAAACCCGACCAAAGAGCTACATGTTCATCTGTCCTTAATTTTATTTTTAGAATGAATTGGTCCACATGAAGTGTTAATTTGTTATATGGTCAGTTTCTCTGTTACAAATTAAATAATTGTCCAACTTTTATTCAGGTTATAATTTAATTGTAAGGTTTACATGAGACTACTATTACACAATGAATATTGCTTCACGCAGTCAATAACAAAACAAAAAACGTTTATCATATTTCCAAGATTTTAATTTCATATTTTTCCGGGAAAAGCATTCGAAATGTACAAATATACACTTCCTGTTTCAAATATACAAATACTATATTAAAAGCAAGATAATGGGGAATGAACACAAACTTTAATTGATTTGCTCAGGTTAAGAGTTTTGAAATTTGACTTATTATTTCAAGCAGATTACTGATAATTCTAACCTAAATTATTGTGTAACAGGAGGGTCGGGTGGCTATGCGTCATCGTCCCCTCGTTTTGATTGAACGTACGTGTCCGGCTCATCCGGACAAAGGTTCGTTCCACTGGGACTGAGATCTGGCAAATGAGATAAATAACAGATGTTCAGATACTTAAATATTCTAAATAAAATATATTATACATGAATGATGAAGCCAAAACATAATTTAGGTAAATAAAATCCACAGTCAAAGAGTGCGGAGCTATTTCAGCTCCTCCTGGTCTAATTCAGACCCAGTACAAAATGTTTCTTTGATAAGTCTATTCTTTTCACAAGTACATCATATTTCATTTAAATATTCAATTCATTATTCCGCTCTTCCACAGTGATATTGTTCATTTTGCGTCATGCAATATTCTTGCCAAGGGAGATTATTTCAGCATCTCCGTTACAATTGATTGATTACAGATAATATGTACTGAATCATAAAGTGAAAATATAGCCTACATTTGAATATCTTTATTTATACAGATTTCAATTAATTGTTTGTCTTAAATTTTCTTTTGAAAATAATAGAGGAAAAGTTCGTTATTGACTATTTTTACTTTTGCTGTTCAGGAATTATGATCATTAAAATATTGGAAAATAACAATATAATGATCGGACAGGCACATACATAACGTGTCAGGTCAAACAACCTTAGATTAAGTGCCATAAATTAGAATATGTCAATTTCATTTGTATTAGCAGCCCTCTTAATCACCTTCAAAATACAGAAAACCCGCTTTTCTGTCAAGTTGACAGCTCATTTCTTGCTTATTGTCCTTTATGGATCTTTTTAAGGAAACGTGAAGTAAAATACCTTCTTTTTTACTCCTCTTGTTCCATATTCTTGTTGTAACATAAGTGGCAATGATGACTAAAGCCATGATTGTAACATGTTTATATTTGAAGAATATTTCAATATAGATGCTGTCTACAAAAATGTAAATTTATAAATATTTTAATTAAGTATAAAACCAAATACCTAAAGTAAGCTGTCATATGAAAAGAAGTACATATTTTATGTAAACAACAGTGATGATATTATTATTATAACATGTGAATTTTATTTTATTTTGTAGCAACATAATATTTCAAACAGAAAGTAACGAAAAGTTAGTGTGCAATATTAGATCAATTTACTCATCATATATATCAGGATTAAAATTGTGTACGTCAGACGCGCGTTTCGTCTAAAAAAGACTCATCATTGAGACTCGAGTTAAAGATGTAAAAAAGAACAAATAAAGTACGAATTTGAAGAGCATTGAGAACATAAAATTTCGAAAGGTTCTGCCAAAAAAAGCTAATGTAATCTATTCCTGGAGTAGAATATCCTTAGTATTTCGAAAAAATTCAATAAGATACAATTGTATTCATGAATTAATCTCTATTTTGAAAGTTATTCCTGGAAATATCAATAAAATATTTTTTTTTTTTGTATTTATATATTGCGTGATTACAATACGATAGCTGTAATATTACAAACAGATCAAATGTCATATCTATATAATGCACAGATGTGAACATGAAAAATATCCCAACTACTTCTGACTGAGTCAAATTTGGTGACCATGTTATATCTTTTTATCGTATCTCTTATTATGGTGGTGTATGTGGATAGTGAGGAATGTACAAGGAAAGTTACAGAGTTGCAATCAAGTGAGAGAAAATTGAGAAACGAATTGGTCCGTCTGCAAAATGTGTTTCTAAAACGTCTTGCCAGAACTGATAAAGAAAGTAAGTACAATGGAAACATGGCGAATTAAACAAGGAAAGTAACAAAAGACAAAAGCCGAAATGAAAAAAACTTCTTCATTATAAACAAATTATTAAAAACAAACTGAAGACTGAATAGCAAGAAGTACAAGTGAATATTGAATATATGAGATTTTGAAACACATAACAAAAACATATAGTTAACCGAAATGGACAGACATGCTCCATCATAGACCAATTCTTACACATTTAACACGTCCTTAAAGATGTAGATATACATGTAAGGATTGCCATTGATCTTCCATTGTTATAAGTTTGATTAAATCATGGACAAGAAAACAGATAGAAATCGAAGATAATTCATACCTTAAAAAACAAGACAAATTGTATTCATACGTAAGGCCAAACAAGGCTTTTATCGCACCTTTTCCTTAACAGGAATATATAAACTGCTGAGAAAATTTTCACCCTAGTAGGTTCGGCAACAATTATTTCTACATGTTACATGATCTGGAAATTTAACATATTCCTTTTAAAATGTGTCTATCAAGCGTTGAACAGAGAATCTTATTGTCCTTATTTTAAGACCTGTCCTAGACATAGAATAAAAACATGTGATTGCATATAAAGTGTTTACCGTTATCCTTACCACTATCTAAAACAATTAATGTTCATTAAATGAAATAAAATTATAATGCTCTATTTGTTATAGATTTGGAGGATAAGAGAGCTTTTATAGGATTTTCAGCATACATGTCTCAAGGTTTTGTGGATGGCCATAGTAAATCTTTGTCTCAGGGTAAAACACTGATCTTTGACATGACAGAAACCAACACTGCTGGTGTCTACAACACGAATACGGGTACCTTCAAAGCACCATCTAGCGGAATGTATGCATTTACCTGGACAATCTGTGTAGACAGTTTTACAAATGACGATGGTTATGGAGAATTCGGGGCAGAGTTGGTTGTTGATGGAAATATTTGTGGAAAAATACATGCAGACACAGAAGTACGCAGTGATGACCAATGTTCTACTGGATTTATTATTAAATACATTAGAGAAGGTGGCGCTGCTCGTTTGAGAAACATCTACACACACCAAGGTCGTCTTCTAAGCAACGAAAATCGAACACGTACAACATTTTCAGGATGGAAACTAAATTAGTTAATCTTATACCTAGCTAAATTAACATCGCAAAATTATATCTTTTTCTCGTTTTTTTCAATTATTCGTTAAACTAAAATAGCTGAATGAAACTATTATACTAACACTATACGTCACTTCCGCCATAAAACATAAATCCAAATTGATAGTTTAAGTAAATACCGGCTAGTGTCCTAATCACGTGCTGCTATGTTGTATGTATTTGGGGATGTCTTATATAAACTGAATGTAAGTCATCATGGAAATCAGTGTACTATCATGATTTCCTAAATAGAGGGTTACTTCTATATTCAAGAAATCTATTGAATTAAAGGTTTTAAATGAAAGTTCAGTTGTAGTCATCTCTTCGTAAGTACTGACGCCATCATGATTGGTTTGACCGTTATTGCATATCTATGTCACAGATGACCATGGATATGTTCTGATTGTAGTAACCACAATATCAATCCCGTCATCTTTTCCTCGATCATGACATTACCTGATGTTAGTTATCAGCTTATTTCCCTTGTAATTTGTTAACACGATGGGTGCTTCTGATGTAGCAGAAACTACTAACCCTTCCAGAACACCCAATCTCATACCTGGTTTTTGTTATGGCTCAATTTTTATATTTCTTTGTAGTGTTTTGTTATTGTTGTTAGCCTTATCGTTGTTTTTCTTTCCATTGTTTTGGGTCTTCTTGGACTTGGGATTTGTATTTTTGGGTCTTTGTTTTGGGTCTTCTTGGACTTGGGATTTTGTATTTTCACCTTTGGTATCTTTTCTCCTTCAGAATTAACGTTTATCACATATATTCCATGCATATTCAGTATGGGAAAGTACTAGACCAAATTAACAAGTCAAACAATGGGTGGGTCGACTATGATTAAGGGCAGAGAAGTTGGACTATTACTGGAGAATGAGGCCATGTTATATAGGGAACAAGACCTGTGCTGACGGGGCTTCCGTTCGACTTTGTGGTGATTGAATATTATGCTTAACGAACGTCCAGTGGCTTATAGTTCGAGAATATTCAGAACGAGAATAAACAAACAATATAAAAATAAAAAGATGTGGTATGATTGCCTATAAGACAACTCTCCACAAGAGACCAAATGACACAGAAATTAACAACTATAGGTCACCGTACGGCCTTCAACAATGAGCAAACCCCATACCGCATAGTCAGCTATAAAATGCCCCGAAATGACAAATGTAAAACAATTCAAACGAAAAAACTAACGGCCTAATTTATGTACAAAATGATGAACGCAAATCAAATATGATACACAGAAACAAACGACCAGGCTCCTGACATGGGACAGGCACATACAGAATGTGGCGGGGTTAAACATGTTAGCGGGCGCCCAACCCTCCCTCTAACCTGGGACAGTGGTGTAACAATACAACATAAGAATAAACTATAAAAATCAGTTGAAAAAGGCTTAACTCATCAGATGGATATAAATAGAAATACTTCTAACAAAAACACAGAGTGGACGTGGCAGAGTACTTATACATCCCCAGACACTAAGTACAGATCTGAGAGTACTCGCAGTTACTGACAGCTAGTTCAATACCAATAACAACTAATAAAAAAATTATGCACCTACGACTAAAATATCAATCAGTACACATCCAACATCCAATGGATTTAGTGTAAAAATGACATTAACAGTCCAGTAAATATGTTTATTCTTTGAAATATGTCAACCGGGAAGAAAGACAAAAAATTTGGATTGGAACTGGAAAAAAGAGCGTACGTTAGATTATTGAGAAATGTAGTAACATCGACATGACTGCCTATCCACCCGCGATAAATCTATTATACAACTATTCTAATAGTATGGTCAGCCCTCAACAAAAGAGACATGTTTAAAAAAAGTATTGATCGTAACTGTGTTTTAATATTGATGTTTAGCAGGCATTCTTTCAGATTGACATATGCAAAACACAAATGCACTCTATTTCTTTATAGTTTAAGCAGTTAGTTTTTTATATAAATTACCCAAAATTATTACCTTACTTGTAAGGTGCTGTTAAACACTGTCCCGAGTAAGGGGAGTAATGTGAGCTCAAAAACATGTGTAATTCATTGGTTGTCGTTTGTTGCTGTCTGTAATATTTGTTTTTCGTTAATTGTTGTGTCATAAAACAGGCCGTTCGTTGATTTTCTCGTTTGAATTGTATCACATTTTGTAATGTCGGGCTTTTCACAGCGGATTATACAGTATAGGTTTTACTTATTGTTGAAGGCCGTACCGGTGACCTATGGTTGCTAACATCTACGTCATTTGGGCTGTGTTTGATACTTGTCCCATTGGCACCCATATCACATCTAATTATTTTCATATTCGGAAATAAACTTGAAAAATTTAAGAAAATGTTTGAAATCCTGTGATGACAAATCGTTATTCTTGATGATGATGATGGATGGCTGCTTAATGTCCAGCGGCAAATTAATATGCATATCCAGGACGAGACCATACAATATGAATATTTACCCTGCTTTGTACTAGACCGACACGCTGAACCTGATTTTTTAACGTGCTAGTTCACAAGGTAACAGTCCGCCGACACATTATTCTGACTCCGGGCCGACCAGTCTTTGCTCTTTCTCCTTAATGCCGCGTGCTTAGCGGAGAAGCAGCAAATACCAATTTTAAAGTCTTTGGTTAAATTTGACATGGGCCGGGGTTCGAACCCACGAATTCCCGCACTCGAGGCGAACACGCTTTTTTTTATCGAACACGTTACCACGAGACCACCGAGGCGTTTCGTTATTCTTGATATTCAATAAAGTATAATCATTGGAACAAAGTCGTTAAATTTGTATTTGAATTTAGAAAATTCTATAAGTATTTTTTTTTTATTTTTTTTTCTCTCGACGTTACATCTCCTCTGATTCTACTGTTTGTTTTTGTCTCCATCAATAAAAGAAGACTTATGATGTCTGGACTCACACCGATGGCTATCTAAAAGCAATTCATTTACAACAAATTCAATAAACAAGCAGTCGTCTTTTCTTTTGCTTCCATCTGATACATTTTTATTTAATTATTGTTTAATTTTTTTATCTAAATTCTGATAATTGCAATAAAAGCGGTGTACCTTTTGGGTATTGGTTATTTTCTAGTATTTCGTATGTACATTTATCATTTTGTAAAATATGTCGATGTTTCTCAAATATACGGTAAGCCGTTTATGATTGTTTTGTATGTCTATAGAAACTTTTTTTCATTAATTTAGTCTTTTTGCGTAATTTGTATTGAATAAAAAGTTTTGTGAGATTGTCAGAGTGTAAGAGCTCATATTTAAAAATGATATGCCCCAAATATGTTTTTCGTGTATTTCTACCTGGTTATATCGATCGATAATTTAAAAGGGTCAAGACACATTTACATTTAACTTTAAAAATTGAATTGAGATAGATAAACGGAAACATCACATGATAACAAAATGGCAGCTGTTGAAACGACTACATGTAGTTTAAATATGTCAACATAAAATATGTCACCATGGGCTGCTGTTTCTCTTCAGAGGTAAGATTCTGGTCATTCTGTTACGCAGAATAACAATAAAAGATAATTTCATGGTAAAACAGAAAATATTGCACAAGTTGGAGTTCAGGATATCACTTAAAATTAATTGAATCTAGAACATATGATATAAACAGTTTATTGCCGATAACCGAATTTATATGTAGAGACATTAAGAAGTAGTTTATTTCAATTTTCTGTCTGTCGATTGGTGAATTATTGCCATTTAAACAATTTGTTATTGCTATCGTGCACGCGTGGGGAGGGGAGGGGGCACTTACTATGTCATGAGTGGTAGAGATGGTCCGCCGGAATAGGTAACTTTTTCGAGCTTAAAATATATATAATAAGGTTGAGATATTAAGATGAAATAAATCATAAGGTTGCTGATTAAATCAAAAATTTCTGAAACTACTCAGATTTCGATATTTTTCACAGATGCAATTAAAACCACAGTCGGAAATACATAAGATATTTGTCAAATCTACTTTCAGTCTCTCCATGAAATAGCGTAATCATGATAGCTACAGTATGGTAAAAAAAAATATATGATAGGGTATGTTTTTTCTGTTTTTCAATAAATATATGAAAAAGGTGGGGTATTGACCAAACAATGATTGAAGTGATCCTCCATCCCCTCCCTTTAACCCCCAAGATCGTGTAAAGCAGATTTAGAACTGTTATTCATAACACAAGGTAACTTCAGATACGGTATTCTGCGGATGCGTGACCAATTGTATCAACATACCACTGCTTATCCAGACAATCAAAAGGTACAGCTCCTGAGTAGTGGTCACGCGCGCGATACAATAAGATAAAAGGACAAGTGGGTATATGCTTATATGAGAGCAACCCAACTACACAAAATGTACGTTCTTAATTGCTCCAAGTTTTGAAAATTGTTAGTAAGTTTAATCAGAGACCTGTCAAAAACACAAAATTTCCTATATTAATGTAAAAATTATTTATATATCTCACTGTCAAACATCTTTTTCGTTCGCATAACACGTATAAATATGCATAATCATTTACTATGCGGAAACTTTACAAAGTTACACAATGGAATAACTTCCGCTCTTTCCGTTTGTTTAAATCAGTAGTTATTAAAATCTACTTCTCTGCGTCATTTGACAATTATGAAATACGGAAGTTAATAAGTATTTATCAAATAAATGCTCATGATAACTGTATATCAGTATCTATGCGGTATAAGTTAACATTCTTTAGGAAAAGAACTACATTTAAAATAATGTGCCTTTATTCGGGAGTGTCAGTATCTTAATTTGCATGTTGAAGATCAACTTTCCACGAGAACGCGACTACTCGCTTTTTCCGAGTTAAAAAATCTTACTCTATAGAACCCACAAAATTTACCTTTGACAGTAAAATTTTAATACATCGCGCCGATTCTTATATCTTTTGGCAGAAACAAATATATATATTTAACTTGGTCTCGTCCTCAACGTGTAACGAAGTCAGTAAGTGGATAAATAATTTTTATTATGTAATTACAAAGTTAAGACTGTTTCTAAAGTTCAAATGTTAGATTGTTCACAAACTGTCTCTAAAGTTGAATTGTTCGAATGTTCATATCGTCACACGGACACGTGATCGTATAGTATAGTGGTATAACTGTTCGGTCCTGACTGAGTAATTCGGCTGGTTAGTGAATTAATTCCAGCCTACCCACAAGGGGGGAGACCTTGGCGGAATCTCCTGTCGGAATCTATCTGTACGAATCTATCCGTTCGAGTCCAAAGCTGGATCTTATATAGTTCAGTGGGGTCATCCATCGTTACACAATGGCCCATAGCTGTTGGCAGGTTGCGTAGTAGTCTGGTTGTGGAGTAATACTAGTCTGTGGTTAATTGTCAAACTATGCAATTAACCCCTGACGGATACATGTTATTTCACAGTAGACATGGTCATTTATTGGCTGCAGGGTATAGGTCTATAATATTCGTACAGATTGTTATTAAGTGTCTATAAAGGTTACATGTAATCGTTTCTGATTTGCTGTATTTATTTACTTCCTGATGATTAACGTATGGAACACAATTGTGTTACATAATGCCTTCCATCCAAAATAGAACGAAAGTTCAATAAAATACGGTATTTTTCTTCCTGTAGGTTATTCTAATATAGTTTATTGTAAGGTTTCCGGTAACCATCACCACATATCTAAAGTTTATAAAGTTCTATAAGTCCAATATCATGATATAATAAGTTCATCACATTCATCAAGTCCAATAGCTGGATATATTTACACATAGTTCATTCGAATCATAAGTTCAATATTTGGGTATATATTGTGCATACTGTTTCCCGTCACCATTATAGAATATTGTTCATCAACTGCTGGAAAGGGCACACATCTTTGTACACGTGTCGGTCATCATCATCATCTCCATTACGAAGTAGTTGACGCATCTAGCTGGTTGGTTCATCCTTCTTCAGAGGCTGTTAACATCGGCCTTCGGTTAAGTTTCGTCCTTGATCAATGGCGCAGAGAAAGACATCTCTCTGGAATCAGTAACATCTGTCCCAACCAATCACGTAGACACCATTTTGTACCCATTGTTCATGGCATTAGAACCAAAACTCACACTTTTCTTTTTGGCCAACCAAGATATATTCTGAACAAATTAACAGTACAAAAATATGGCTATTCCAATGAAGATCGCACCTAAACCCCACTGATAAACTTATCTCAATTTGGAAAAACTAAATATTGTTTACTACTTTTTTATTTATCAATCGTTTGTTCAATCGCCTTTAGTTCACTGGGTTATTCAAGCCTAGCAAATTTTAATAAAACAATTTCTAGGTAAAATCAATACGTTCTCTTAAATATCGAATTATCTGGTTAAAACAAAAAACAAAAGAGGAAAAAAAACTGTCGTATACCACTTCTACAATTTTGAGAATCCTACATAATAAAAACAAAGTTTTGTTTATTTACACAAAACATAAGAAACATATTTACAAATTTACAATCAAATAAGTTCAATTTGTTCATTTTATATAACCCCTACACCTACGTATAGAAAATACTAAAAATTATGTGTTATTTTGTTACCAATTGTAATACTTTTACGTCTTTAACTTTAGTTTCTCATTAATTAATTTTAATGCTAAATATAGTCCACAAATTTATTCTCATCACTCTTAAAAATATTTAAGATTACATTGATAAAATTTAACTACGTCTTGCGCATTTTGTTACTGACTCTATGTTTCCTATTTGACAACAACACCTTGTTGCGAAAAAAAAAATGCCTTTCTCCTTAATCTATTACATTTTTCCATAACAAGTTTATAGTTTCTTCATCATAATCTTTCCTTTCTTTTTTATATATATCATTTTAATTTGCTTTAAAACATCAGCGACCTACTGCCTATCTTTTTTATACATTTCATTATAACTGAATGTATATATGTTGAGATTTTATTCATTCTATTTTTTTTTAAAACTTGACTTACTTCTTAAAAACCAAAACAATTTAAAGTTTGTTCTATGCTTATTTATGAACAAAACCCATTGTTTAGACTCATTTTTTGTTTTACTACTAAATTAATTATTTTCTTATTCTTATTTTAATTTCTGATAATTATCCTCATAATTGTTTTTAAAAAAAATCTATTTTATTTTAATGCTAGTTTTCCTTTAATATCAATTATCTATTTCACTTAAATTTTGTCATTAGTCATGAAGTTCATGTGTCTCTCATTTTTTACAAATATCAATCTACCACAAAAATACTGTAAATCCCTTTGGGCAAAACATATCAACATTTATCTTTAATGTGCTATTTTCTGAAGATACTTCTCTTTATCTATTAACATTTATTTTATGTAAATAAGGCGTAATCTAACACCATAAAACAACTTGCACCATTTAATTACTTAACATCACTTATGTTAATCATCCGAAGAAGGGGTTGGAATCTAAAATTATAGACTATTTGTTTTCTCTAAACAAATGTGCGTAAACACTACCCAACTGCGTAAACCCATAATCATCAATGGCAATAACACGCAAACAATGTATCCTCAATGTACCCTTAACTTCATCTACCAAAGGTTCTAATTCAACCTTAATTTACACCGGTGCTCTACTAATTTTACGTAAGATATATATTTTCTAGAATAATTGAATGTATCTTCAAGAAAACAACCCATAATATATATGATCAAAAACCATAAATACGAAAAAATGCTATAGTATCAGACATTTTACTTTTTTACATATTTACTCTCAACGAAAAACTAGCTTCTTCAAACTTAAAAAAAAAAGTTTTATTTTAAAGAATCATACTTACTATATATAACGTATCCTATCTATTAAATAACTGCATATAAAAATAACTAAAAAATTATCTTCAATTGTTTTAAGAATATGTGTATTCATAATTCTTAAATTGACGTACAATTTCTAAAAATACTAATAAAAAAATTTCGTGCGAACCACAGCTCGTGAACAAACTTCTGATTTTAAGCCTTTTAGATATACGGCCTCATTCCCTTTAAAATTAAAAAAACTGTACTTAACATGTGTGCCATCCCTTGAAAAGCCATTTCTACTTTTTGCGCTGACATAGAAATATCTTGATTGTCCATAAACAAAAAAAATGAAAGTAACTTAGTTCTTACGTTTTATATTCCTTTGCGTTGTTTTAGCCAATCCAAGTCGATCCTGGTCTAAACGGCATCAATTTTACGACTTGTAACGAAGTCAGTAAGTGGATAAATAATTTTTATTATGTAATTACAAAGTTAAGACTGTTTCTAAAGTTCAAATGTTAGATTGTTCACAAACTGTCTCTAAAGTTGAATTGTTCGAATGTTCATATCGTCACACGGACACGTGATCGTATAGTATAGTGGTATAACTGTTCGGTCCTGACTGAGTAATTCGGCTGGTTAGTGAATTAATTCCAGCCTACCCACAAGGGGGGAGACCTTGGCGGAATCTCCTGTCGGAATCTATCTGTACGAATCTATCCGTTCGAGTCCAAAGCTGGATCTTATATAGTTCAGTGGGGTCATCCATCGTTACACAATGGCCCATAGCTGTTGGCAGGTTGCGTAGTAGTCTGGTTGTGGAGTAATACTAGTCTGTGGTTAATTGTCAAACTATGCAATTAACCCCTGACGGATACATGTTATTTCACAGTAGACATGGTCATTTATTGGCTGCAGGGTATAGGTCTATAATATTCGTACAGATTGTTATTAAGTGTCTATAAAGGTTACATGTAATCGTTTCTGATTTGCTGTATTTATTTACTTCCTGATGATTAACGTATGGAACACAATTGTGTTACAAACGCCACTTAATACGCATCCGCTAGAAACACATTCTAAATTCAATCAGTAAATCTGTTCTTATAATTCCAGAATGATTTGGAACCATCCTCTACATCAAATTTATTAAGTGGTCCACAACGTAAATATGTTGACAGTACAGGGCCTCCTTCGTCAGCTAGACAATATCGTCCCCCTGATAGAAAAGACAGTAAGTTTTTACTACATGCCCCCTTCGTCAGCTAGACAATGTCGTCCTCCTGATAGAAAAGACAGTAAGTTTTTACTACATGCCTCCTTCGTCAGCTAGACAATATCGTCCTCCTGATAGAAAAGACAGTATTTTTTTACTACATGCCCCCTTCGTCAGCTAGACAATATCGTCCTCCTGATAGAAAAGACAATAAGTTTTTACTACATGCCCCCTTCGTCAGCTAGACAATATCGTCCTCCTGATAGAAAAGACAATAAGTTTTTACTACATGCCCCCTTCGTCAGCTAGACAATATCGTCCTCCTGATAGAAAAGACAGTTAGTTTTTACTACATGCCCCCTACGTCAGCTAGACAATATCGTCCTCCTGATAGAAAAGACAGTAAGTTTTTACTACATGCCTCCTTCGTCAGCTAGACAATATCGTCCTCCTGATAGAAAAGACAGTAAGTTTTTACTACATGCCTCCTTCGTCAGCTAGACAATATCGTCCTCCTGATAGAAAAGACAGTAAGTTTTTACTACATGCCCCCTTCGTCAGCTAGACAATGTCGTCCTCCTGATAGAAAAGACAGTAAGTTTTTACTACATGCCCCCTTCGTCAGCTAGACAATATCGTCCTCCTGATAGAAAAGACAGTAAGTTTTTACTACATGCCTCCTTCGTCAGCTAGACAATATCGTCCTCCTGATAGAAAAGACAGTAAGTTTTTACTACATGCCTCCTTCGTCAGCTAGACAATATCGTCCCCCTGATAGAAAAGACAGTAAGTTTTTACTACATGCCTCCTTCGTCAGCTAGACAATATCGTCCCCCTGATAGAAAAGACAGTAAGTTTTTACTACATGCCTCCTTCGTCAGCTAGACAATATCGTCCTCCTGATAGAAAAGACAGTAAGTTTTTACTACATGCCCCCTTCGTCAGCTAGACAATATCGTCCTCCTGATAGAAAAGACAGTAAGTTTTTACTACATGCCCCCTTCGTCAGCTAGACAATATCGTCCCCCTGATAGAAAAGACAGTAAGTTTTTACTACATGCCTCCTTCGTCAGCTAGACAATATCGTCCCCCTGATAGAAAAGACAGTAAGTTTTTACTACATGCCCCCTTCGTCAGCTAGACAATATCGTCCTCCTGATAGAAAAGACAGTAAGTTTTTACTACATGCCACCTTCGTCAGCTAGACAATATCGTCCCCCTGATAGAAAAGACAGTAAGTTTTTACTACATGCCCCCTTCGTCAGCTAGACAATATCGTCCTCCTGATAGAAAAGACAGTAAGTTTTTACTACATGCCCCCTTCGTCAGCTAGACAATATCGTCCTCCTGATAGAAAAGACAGTAAGTTTTTACTACATGTCCCCTTCGTCAGCTAGACAATATCGTCCTCCTGATAGAAAAGACAGTAAGTTTTTACTACATGCCTCCTTCGTCAGCTAGACAATATCGTCCCCCTGATAGAAAAGACAGTAAGTTTTTACTACATGCCTCCTTCGTCAGCTAGACAATATCGTCCTCCTGATAGAAAAGACAGTAAGTTTTTACTACATGCCCCCTTCGTCAGCTAGACAATATCGTCCCCCTGATAGAAAAGACAGTAAGTTTTTACTACATGCCACCTTCGTCAGCTAGACAATATCGTCCCCCTGATAGAAAAGACAGTAAGATTTTACTACATGCCCCCTTCGTCAGCTAGACAATATCGTCCTCCTGATAGAAAAGACAGTAAGTTTTTACTACATGCCTCCTTCGTCAGCTAGACAATATCGTCCCCCTGATAGAAAAGACAGTAAGATTTTACTACATGCAGTATATGTGTTTCTGGTTATATTAAAAGCAGATATGTTCAAATTAATACAGTGTATGGATTGTTAAATCGAATTCAACTTTTCTGAAGCAATTGAAGAGGGACGAAAGATACCAGAGGAACCGTCAAACTCATAGATCGAAAACAAACTGACAACGCCATGGCCAAAAATAAAAAGACAAACAGACAAATAATAGTACAGATGACACAACATAGAAAACCAAAGACTTAGCAACACGAACCCCACCAAAAACTGGGGGTGATCTCAGGTGCTCCGGAAGGGAGGATTGTTTTTATTTTTTGTTTTTTTTTATTTGCTATTATTCATGTTGCATTCGGTGGTAAGTTAAATATATACGGTATAACAATTACTTCACGATTTAAACCAAAAGATTAGTTTCTGAAGAAATACATCCTTCTTACATTGGATCTCAAAACGTGAACATTCGAGTCAGGTCAGGTATTGATGTGTTATTATTCTGATATGTGCGGCGTGTATTTATTGTCTTTATAATAAGAACTTGACTTCTGTGTTGTTGAACAGAGCCGATTGTGGTTGGCAACAATATACTCGAACTGATCAGCCGGTAAATAAATCAGCTAACAGGGACCAAACAACTATTAAATTTTTACAGTTTTAAAGAATGATATGTAAAATTGTACTGTTACAATTAAATTAAATACAAGTGACACGTAATTTTCTTTTAAATTGTTTCCTGAATTTTTTTTTATATTTATGTCAGCAATTACGGGAGATGATGATGGCTTGGTCGTATCAAAAATGAAACCAATCGTTATTCAGTCGATGAACAAGACATTCCAAGTAAGTCAGATCTTTGTGATTTTCATAATAATGTAAAAAAAAGCATATGGTGTATGACATAATGACATAAAATCACTACACGCACCTAAAACAAAGAAACAATCCTATTGCTGTTCCTGGGACACATACATGTAATAGTCCCAGCTGTTCCTGGGACATATAATAGTCCCAGCTGTTCCTTACCCTCTCAACTACTTTCGTGAGTCTCTGGTATATGACTTCAGATTTGTCTTTGAGAGTCTCTGGTAACTTCGAATTCAGACCTGTCTATGAGAATCGCTGGTAACTTCTAATTTAGACCTGTCTTTGAGAGTCTCTGATAACTTCGAATTTAGACCTGTCTTTGAAAGTCTCTGGTAACTTCGAATTTAGACCTGTCAATGAGAATCGCTGGTAACTTCCAATTCAGACTTGTCTTTGAGAGTTACACTCAATGGGGAACATCCGGTAATATAGCATTTATTATAATTTGCAAAAAATTACAAGAGGAATGAGTGTCTGATTATAAACTTAATTTTACATTTCATGCAATTAAATTTATTGACATTGTTAATTTAAAAAAGTCAAAATTTTGAAACGAAAAACCTGCATAAGAATGAAAAGTCAGATTGCTATTATGGTTCACATACAATGTAAAGTTGTATTATTTAGAATAATGAACACATGATATTTTTAGAATAAATGTCAACTATGTATTACTAGTTTCCATTATTTTTGGGTTTATTTAATCACAAAGCAAAAAAAAAAGATAATTGTTGCATTAACTGTTTAAAATATGTTATTATCACTTAAATTTTTGATGAGGTTTTTTCATGTATATAAATCAACAGATTATATAATACATTATGTAGCCTAGGTATAGCAATTTATGATTTACAAAATGAATAATTTATTTTATTTCATTGATCCATAACATTTCTGATTTTGCAACATTTGATATGTTTATTACTGAATTCGATTCCTTTGAAAGGACCATGAGAAGTTATATGATGATATATCAAAGAGCTACCAGGGGATGTTGAATGAACTGCACTATTTTAAATCAGCATTTGATAAAGAAACTTCAGGAATTCCAGAATTGACGAAGTGTGTTCGAATATTAGTCCATAGATGTGGTTAGTAATTTTAAAGTTTTTTTTTTTTGTAGCACTCTATACCTACGGTTTTCCCCCATCTACATGTACAAAGGTCTAGATGTGCTTTACAAATTAGAGAATAATAGGGGAAAACAACTAGAAAAATATATATAGAAAAAAATAGAAATTAAAACAGGAAAAAATGGGCAAAAAATTTAGAATAGAGAAAAATGGCAAAAAATAAAAGAAACAAGAATGTGTCCATAGTACATGGATGCCCCACTCGCACTATCATTTTCTATGTTCAGTGGACCCTAAAATTTGGATCAAAACTCTAATTTGGCATTAAAATTAGAAAGATCATATCATAGGGAACATGTGTACTAAGTTTCAAGTTGATTGGACTTCAACTTCACCAAAAACTACTTTGACCAAAAACTTTAACCTGAAGCGGGCACAATCATTTTCTGTGTTCAGTGGACCGTGAAATTGGGGTCATAACTCTAATTTGGCATTAAAATTAGAAAGATCATATCATAGGGAACATGTGTACTAAGTTTCAAGTTGATTGGACTTCAACTTCATCAAAAAGTACCTTGACCAAAAACTTTAACCTGAAGTGGGACAGATGGACAGACAAATGAACAGACGAACGAACGGACGCACAGACTGAAAAACATAGTGCCCCTAGGTCGGGCATAATAAAACAGGAGATTGACAATATCATAACAAGTCACATCAACTGAACTGCACAAGACTGATGATACAAAAGCTAAGACTGAGTTCACTACAAACTACAATTTTGAATAGTTTCAATCAGTGTTGAAAAAAGTTGATGTCCATTAACTTTAATTTCTTTTCTTCATATGAACTTCCTCTAAATAGGAACACCCCTCTTTTGAGTGTTAATTAGGTTAAACGTCTTATAACTATGTACAAACACTACTTAACAGTTTGAATTCGCTTAAAGACCCACAAGAAATTAATTCACAAATATTCATGTAAGGAACATCATCAGCTGGTGTCATTATGACAACCTAATGGTTTTATTTTCTTATTTTGAAAATTAGTTCCTTAAAGTTGGTTTTATATATTCACAAACTTTATACTCTAGAATATTTAGAGCTTGTCATATTGTATAGACAGTGTTAGACTGAATGCTGCCCTGTAGATGTCTTGAATGCTGCCCTGTAGATGTCTTGAATGCTGCCCTATAGATGTCTTGAATGCTGCCCTGTAGATGTCTTGAATGCTGCCCTGTAGATGTCTTGAATGCTGCCCTGTAGATGTCTTTTAGTAATTTGTGTTATTAGGTTGCTGTCTCATTGACATATAACCTACATTTCTGTCTAGTTATACCTATAGTGCAAATAAACACCTATTTCGCTTTCATTTTATGTTCAATTATCTAACACTGTTAATTTTCTCTGTTTAAGGTAAAACATCGCTAGAAGTACAAAGAAGAAAAAACTGTGTACAGATTATTTTTTCTGAAAAGACATTAATGAAAAGTTCACTCAAAGACCCACAAGAAATAATATCTTCTATCAAACATTTCAATTCAATGAACAAACATTTAGAAAAAGTCCTAGAGCGTTCTCATAGTATCCAGAACTCTATCAACATTTTATTAAAAGACGAAGAATCTATTCAACGACAAGTAACAAAGGAATGTTTACCAGCTGACCAAGGACCAGTTGCTATGTATAACTGTAAAGAAAACATGAGAACATTAGAACAAATGCTGAAGAATATCGATGTCATCAAAGAGAAATCAGAGGCGAAATTAAAAGACGTTATAGAATCATCAAAAGGATTTTTTGAAAATGCTGAATGATACAATTTTTACAATTTAGTTGATATGAAAAGCTGTAAACTGTGATATCAAATAAGAGTTTATGAATTTCTATTTACAAACTTTAGTGTAGCTAAAAAAAATCAATTGTACACAGACTCTCCCATGACTTCTTTTGTTTAAAACATGACTTGCTTTTAAGTTAACATTGTAAATCACTAATCACAAGTCATCCATTTTTTTTCAACATATGTATACAAGTTTTATGTAATATCTTTTCTTTTCTTTTTCTTACCTTAAATAAATTAATTGTGTTTCTTTTCTTGAAGAATATATATATAGTCACATGTTTCTATCTATTAGTGAAATTCTATTTTGCAAACCGTTTTTTTATTGTTTTCTGTTCTTTAAGTTTTTCCAAATTGGGTTCACTAAAATTGTAATTATTATTGTATATTGTACGATTGAACGAATGTGTCATTTTTCTTAGAGGAAAAATTTAATAATCACATCAAGATTACCCAACAAACAGATATTAAAAAGAGGAGAATGTGTCCATGGGACACAGATGATGCCCTCACTTGTTTTTAATGTTATAAAGGGACATAACTCAAGAACAGTAGTAGTGACGCCACTTAAATTCAAACTTGATCTGAGCTTTGTGGTAATAAGCATTGTGTATCAGTTTCATGACATTTGGTTGAGGCAAACTAAAGTTAGAGAACGGAAACCAATTTTAGGACGTTCCTATGGAGGGACAAGGGTAACACTTAATGCCCAATTCACCTTGCGTTAGGGGCATAAAAAAACCTTTGCGGTAATATAAAAATCTTTAAGAGAATTGTGTCAATATGACTTATACGGTCAATAACAAAAAAACTAATTGATCATATTATTTCTTATATTTTATTATAAAAAATCCACTACAAATATTATCACAGATATTCATATACAATGTGTTCCTTTCCATGTAAAACAATTAATACAAGAAGTCATTTCATTAGAACACATAAAATCAACCATGAGACATGAAAAATGGGATGGCAACGAAACCAAAAGTTTTAGCAAGTTTTATCTTGAACAGCTAGACATTTCTATTACTTTATTTCTTCAAAATGAATAAAGAAAAGGGCCCATTGTAAGTAATAGCTTATTTCCTTGCAGGTATTTCATTGTTAAGAGTATTTAAGAACTAAACACTATTACATATTAAATGGTCCTTTTAGTTTTTATTTGAACCACTATAACTAAACGTATTCAATCACACAGTTTTGTTCATTTATGACTTAGACTAGAACTAGATATTGATTGACGATATACAGGATATACAAGTTCTCGACATATTGTTTCTTTCTGATGAGTAGATCTGAACCATAACCCTTAAACAGTACCATTCATGTATAAAATGTAAGGCGACATAATTTTACTTGGCTCTTTGTTGCCATCCACAATAAGCACAATGACAAAATAACAGTCCTGTGTAGTTGCTTGTCTAAATCTTAAATGCAAAAGTTAACCATAGTCATTGATGCATGACAAACATCAAGGTGGTTAAATTTCTTGCATGCACCTTTGTGCCTTTCCTTCATTATCATCTAAACCCCCTTTCTTTCCTCCCATAGAAAAAAACAAAACAAAAACAGAAAACTAAAAAATCATGATTTGGATGAAAATATTCATAATAAATAAGATATCTCCTATAATAAAATAAAATAATTTTTTTTCATGAAATGTTTTTTTTTTTCTGATGTAGTTTTTTTCACTTTATTACACAATTTCCTGACAATCTTATTGATGAAGGAAACTTATGAGCACAAGCAAAGTATTTATACTATCAAGCTCTTTCCCATAAAATATTTGTTACTGGACCAGACATTAAGCAAACAATCAATCAATCAAACACTATCACTGGCTTTGCTGACTGATCTTTTTTGAAAGCCATATTATACCTTAATCATATTTTGCTGCACGAAGATCTTATTCCAGCAGATATTGTTACCTGAGATAAACTGCCAATAGCAGTGTGGGGAAATCTAAACTGTATACTAAATTATTAGTAATCTAAAATATTATTATAATTTCAAGTTGATAATAAATACTTGCATCTTTAAAAATTCCAAATTCTGTTTTAAGATGAAATACTCAATTCCGTAAGTTCCATTATTTTTTCTCTGTTCGGTCTATTTCCCTCATATAACAAAAGCCATTCAGTTTACATACCTCCACTTTAAAAATTTCAAAAATTAACAATTAAATAAAACGACAAATACAATGATGATTGTAATGATAAATACAGTGAAAAATCTTCTCCATTTGTTATTCCAATATCACGATAATTCAAAGCCTGTATTAGATGATATTGCATATCGTAACTTCTCTCGCAATGTACTTTTCTTTTGATAATTCGGTAATTTCAATAAGTTAAAACATGTAGATGATGTAGGTAATCTGCCTACAGGGTCCCTTTTCCTGATGTTAAAAAATCCTTTAAGTACACTCCCAACTGTGTCTCCTGTGTCCTGTTAAAAAAAATGGTAATATTGATTAAAATGAAATATCAAGTAAAACTGGTAGGTGTACAACACTATCTAACATTTTCTTATCATGGAATATAACAGTTGTTTGCTGTTGTTTGTATATGTTTAAAAGTCAAAGGAGTTGCCTTTTGGTGCGGTCTGTTGTACTGTCCAATTTTTTTGGTCTTTTTATGTATGTTTAATTTGTTCTGTTGTGCATTTTAGTGACTTCGAAATATATCATTCTTTATTTCTTGAAGCCAACCAATCTAGTTAAAATAGTATTGTATTTTTGTCAACATAGTTTACAGAATAAATGTTTAAATGTATACAGTTAAGACCTGAAAAATATGTGGTCGCATAAATCTGTGCATTCCGTTGACATAATATTAAATAAAAAAACTTATTTAAAAAATTCAATGGTGTACAATGTATATTTGAAGAGAGATGCATGTATCTTATTTGACTTTTGAAAATTGTAATGAATCAATTCAAAGTTATTTTTATAATTGGTAACACACAGCATGGCCAGTGGAAGAAATTTAAGACAGTTTTCATAACTAATGAAGCAATATAACTACCTGATCATCACTAACTTCAACACATCTGACAGAAAAGGGAGGTTCAAGATTAGAAAATCCTAAAAGTGGTGGCTTGGAACAACTGGTTACAAACTAAAATAAACATATAAACTGTAACCATACTAGTGCCATTAACTACAACATGTCAAAAAATATTAAAGGTACAGTTGTCAGCCATCAGTATTTATAAAAACAAAATGACCGCCAGTCGATGTGAGTCTGCACATGAAAATAACTGGAACTATTGAACACTAAACAAAATGAAAAATTTCTACTTTAATACTTTGTAATGTTTCCTTTACTCCTCATTACTGATAAAATCTGCCTAGGAATGCTGTTATGCAACGATTTTCTCGTAATTAATTGAAACTGCATTCAAATATTTTGAAAATTTAATAATGCACTCTTCAAGAAAAATCATTTCTTTTAAGTCCCACATTCTGTAAATGACTTTATGGTTGTTATGCCAACAGTATAACTTTTCTTACCTTTAGAAATAATCCTTTTTCTTCTCTGTTGAAATCTTTACCTAATATATCCCACATCCAGTTAATGACTTTATGGTTGTTATGGTAACCACCATAATACTGAGTATTCCTTCTAAAGTTATAAATATGAAAAAATTAATACTATGAAACTTAAAGATACTTAAATAACTTTACTGAGCTGCCTTGAACAATAACCAATAGCTCATATTGTAACCATATTAAACCCTACAATATTCTAGAGAGAGATTGTGATTAAAGTATTGGACTTTTAGTACAAAATATTTGTCCTAAATGTTGAATGTTAATGTTGACTTTCAAAAAAGTGTCCAGTAACGGTCATATCTGCCAAAAAAGACCTAACCTGAGAGGCCAACGACTGAAATGGTATCTTGGATTTAGGTCAGGAAAAACAAATTTGTACAAATACAATTTTGTTCATTTCATTGTGAACATTCTTTATAATTGCCAATTTGCACTAATTTTTTTTTTGAAATGCTTTTCCAGTAATAAAACTGCCACTCTTGTATAGTATGATAATCCAGTGGGCCATCTTAATTACCATTTATTAATGCCTCTGGGAGGCTAATGATTGCTATTTATCACTTTTTACCTGTGTTCTGATATGTTCTATAACAAAGAAGTTGAAATAAAATGCTTTTTGTTCTAAATAAAAGAAAAAAAAATCCCAAATTTATAAAATTGGTCAATTTGACACGAAAAAAAAGCAACAAAATTTTATAAAACTTTCTAATATAACACCAACCTATAGTTTTTTTAAGTTAAATTTATTCTGATTGGTCCATTTCATCTTAAAGTATGAAAAAAAGTTTAATTGTGAAACTGTGATTTTTTTCATGATATTAGCCCAAAAATGGGTAAAAATTGATGAAAATGGGAAAATCATTAAAAATTGGGTACTTTCAAATGGCCGTAGCAAAAAAAGAAGTGCACCACCATATGATTTTTTCTTCATCAATTACTTTCTTATAGTCATATAAACCCAAAAATCAGGTTAAGAAAAAAAATTTAATTCAGAGGTGTACATCCTTAATAAATTTTAAGCAATCATTAATTCCGATTTAAAAGTAAAAGCTTTTATTAAGGTAGAGTAACTGTATACCGCCATCTTGGATTGTAAAATAGCAGTACACAAGCAGTCTAGTTCTTTGATTAAATCTGCAAGTTTTGAGACAGATTGGCAATTAATGTGTAGACTGTTTATTTAAATTAAGAAAAATAAGTGTTTTATTGTATTATTCAGAATGTTTTAGCAAGTACCAAATATTTGTTTTTGTTTGATTCAATTTTTCAACTTATAAGGGGAGATAACTCTTTTAGTAACCATTATATAATGGAATGTTAATGAAATTTTCATTTCTTCACTTGAAGCAAGAAAACAAACTTGGTGACACCATCTTTTCTTTTTATTTTCTTAAAGCATATAATAAAACCTATCTCCTCATATTTTATTATAAATTCTATCTCATAGATTTTTTTTATTCACAACAAAGTTTTTTTTCATGAATAATCTAAGCAAATTTGGGCAATTTTACACAACTTTTAGCTTGAAAAACAGCACGGTGACCCTTTCTTTTTATTAATTTTTGAAAAAAGCATGGAAAAGTCTACATTTTGGCAAAGAATAAAAAAAATTATACCAGAGGAAATATATATAGTGATGATCCAACTTAAATTACGTAGAACAAGAATGTGTCCATAGTACACGGATGCCCCACTTGCATTATCATTTTCTATGTTCAGTGGACCGTGAAATTGGGGTCAAAACTCTAATTTGGCATTAAATTAGAAAGATCATATCAAAGGGAACAACATAATGCCCCTAGGTGGGGCATAAAAAGTAATTTATCACAAGTCCCACTATGTAATATGCATGGTGTAACTGTCTTCACCAGATAAGACACTTCATTGTAAAATGTAAAATAATGTCATGCCAAGTTTAATGAGTAAACTATTATCAGTTATATTTAAACACTGTTACAGTTAATCAAATTTAAAATGCAATGATTTCCTGCCGTATGATAAACAGAATCAACCCTATAGATGGATCTGGAATCACTTGTTATTTATGATTAACTTGAAACTTCCAGTTTTCATTTCTTTTCTCAAAATCAAAAGCAGTGTGGTCAATTCCTAAGAAATTTAAAGATTTAGGTCATTAAAGTCAAGTCAATTTTTTAATGTTGCATTCCATAAATTGTTCTTGAATGTTTTTATGAAAATGATTAGAAATGTCATCAAGTAAATGCTGTGAAACCCCCAATACAAGTTTGTTGATGATGTGACTTATAGTATAAATTTGACATTTTAAAAAATGAACTCCAACCTTCAAGTCATCTTTAAATGACTGAAATTGTATGGAAAAATTGCTGAATCCTTGTTTGTAAACATCTCATACTCTATCTTAAATTCTTTATCCACACTGGATAGTTTTAATATCACATCACATAAATTGTGAACTTTGAACTATTACCTTAAATCTTGTATATCTAATTCTGCATTGTCACCAGATATAAGTTTCTGTAACTCCGGAGCTGAGAGAATCAATAACCAATCAGAATTGATGACAGCTTTAAATCCTCTGATGAATGCTAGTGTTTGGTCCTTTATCTGTTTATACATTCTAAAGTGGGCCATCAGGTGTACATACCGGATTCTAAAATTGAAAATGTGTTCCAAGATAATTGTGATGCAAGTTGCACTAACAATATTGCAGACATAATTCATAAATGTAACTAAGAAACAAATCTCAAAAGCAAATTATAATTGTTTTCCAAGAAAGCAGCATAATAAATAAAAGCTTATTATTACCCCTTAGTCTCTGTTTAAAAAGTACATGACTGTGTTGTGTATATGTTTGTAGGGTTTAATGTATCATCTAGTTATAATTTTAAGTTTTAAGCACATTTACTCCAAAGCCCTTCGGTATCAAATTGTCTTTATATCTTCCATGGTTTCAGTATACTGGTCTAACTTTTGAGTTCTCTAATTTTCCCATGAAACAGAAGTAACCATGTTAACAGGTACAGCCACATTTGTATGTTGTTGATGATTGTTCACCGTTATTGAATGTTCTTTAAAAAGTTCCTTTGATGCGGAATAGTTTTAGTTTTTCATATATAATGATTACCATAAATTTTGAAGTCATGAACCTTGGATGTTGTTCTGTTTCTGAACAGGTTTTTTTTTTTTATCTAATTCTGTTATCTAATTTTTTTTGCATTTTATTCTGTTTCTTAATATTTCTAGTTTCTAATTTAATGATGGAGTAGATCCTGGTAGTCAATTTAGAATTCTTTCCCAGCATGTCTAGAATTCAAGCTACATAGAGCAAGTGACAAAGATAATTATTTTATCCAAAACCATTAGTGTCATCTTTGAATTGGTATAAGTATGTTGTTGGGTTGATGTCTCAATATTATTTACTCATACATCTCATTTTATCCAAACATATACATTCAATGACTATAACATAATTTATCACCAGGGATAGATTCTTTGTTACACAGAGGTTAATAAAGGTCACATTTCACTGTATATACTCACTTGTTTTCATTAGTGACTGGAATGGCTTTACCACCAGGAACCAGCTCATGAGTTTCTACCCTTCCCATGATATCCTCATCTAATGAGAAGGTCAACCCAAGGTCATCAACATCACCTTCATAGTGCTGTAGTGAAAAGGAAACCGAAACCAATCAATTACACTCAAATCAAAGTTAATCCAGTTTATCCAACATAAGTTTCACAATACAAAAAAAACAGCAATAATATAAAACAGGGTCAAATCAAGGTCAAATCCATAGTGATCAGCATCCTGATGTTTATGTCTAGTCTTTAATAATTCCTAATAGCAATTGCAATAAATTTCTACATTTTTACTGGTTTTTAATTCTTGCATAAAATAAAGGTCTTCGTTTCATTCTAATTGGTCACATAAAAATGTATTTAAATTTTAGACTACACATTGAAGAATGAATAAAAATGTGAGTTTAATTATTGCAATTTTAGGAAAAGCTAATTACAGATATATGTACCAGATATCAGAATGCAAGTTTGTTATTGTTATACTCAAGGAATCGCATTATTCTTTTTCATAAAAACCTCGCAAATATTTCTGAATTTACAGTAGATATATGTAGAAATGTGAATAGTGTGACTCAGTGAGTATCGTAATATTAAGAACTCACATTCTGATAACTGAAACATTGATCGGTATGCAAAATTTTTCTGAAACCACAGCAATTAAGCTAGCGTTTGTCCATTCTTAAAAAATCGCATCTATAAATGCACATAATATGTCTGAATTCAGTTTCATATTTAAGGTCCAGTGACAACAATTTTTGGAAGGGTAAATTAAATTGCATGCTAAAAGACAAATCCATATACTTTTCTTTCTTTTTAGGCCTTAGCTATACAAGTTTTTTACCTTAACATAGGACAAGTTTTTGGCAAGTTCTGGATCTAGTGATGGAAGTTCATCTAATGAACTGTAGGTTGCGCTCTGTTGATGTCCTAACATCTGTGTCAGGAAAAATGGAGCAAAAGGAACTTCCACAACTATTCCCTGAAAATATTAAAGCAAATTTTACCTTCACAAGAATTTTTTCTGAATGTAAGAATGTCTCTCTCCAAATGAAGCTTAACATATTGAGATAAAGCACAGCAATGAAAGTATTTTCTTTAATAATGAAATAATTATTTTATTGTTACACTTTCTCAGTTCCTTTTATTTTGTGTTATAAAACAACTGTGTCTCAATTGTTCAGACAATATCAAATCTGCATGCCTTTATAAATCTGTTACAAATATACTATCAATTCAAAAAATGAAACTGAAGGCATGCAAGGTATTACAGGATCTTAATATTCATAAATCAAGACAAATTCAGTAGTAAAAGCCTATCATCTGATTTTCAAATGAAAAAAAGTGTACATAATTTTTTTTGTAAGTCCTTCTGAATAGTTCTTAAAATGCTGAAGTATAATAAATCTATTATTAAAACAACAATAGGATAAAAAAAAGTATTACTTGTCATGGATACAGTGTTATTGATGGACTCACCTCATAAACAGCTTTACCAAGCATTTTTCCAACAAATTCAAACAAGGACAGATGATTTTCTTGGATATAAGATGTTGATGATGGATACAGTTTTTGTTCTGATGTCACCTGCAATCATCAATATTTATGTACATATGGAACAATATATTAAAGGTTAAGTATAGGTTGCAATACACTGTACACTTAGATATTTTTGACAATTTTGTAGTTTGATTTTTGGTGAATTCATGACCAACACAAAGTTGAAAAAAAATACATGCAAGTTGCCAATTTCTCAATCACTTCTTAAATTAAATAATAGTGTTTTCTTCAGGAGGTTTCGGAATGGTATGGCGCCCAGCCCTTTTTTGGAATAAATTAGGCGCCACGCTCCTTTTCCATCGTATTTCATAACGCCCTGCCGTAATTTAAGATCGGTTCTGCGATTCATCTTTTAGCAAGACCATTTCGAGTTATTTCATGGCTGAATTGGAAAAATTTAATAGTGTGTATGACTGGAGTGAGATGAGCTGGGTGGATTTCCTCTAACATAAAAATAAGAAGATGTGGCTTGATAACCAATGAGGCAACTATCCACCAGAGACCAAAAGACATTTAACATTTCAGACTGACAAAGTTGAATTGATATTTGAATATCATCTTAAACATTTTTTATTTTTATCAATTTGAAGATATAATGTTCATTATCTTTTATAGAAGGATTACATTATAAAGGAATCTAATCAAGGTGAGACAATCAAAACTAGTACTCGTCAATTTCCTGTAAACATTCAACATCTAAAGATAAATCTCAAGTCTCAGAATGTTGAACGATTAGTATTATATAATCATTTTTTTAAAACTGGTTTCCCTTCAACTTCTATAACCATAAAATCCTACCTTGAATAAGTTGAGGGAAGGATCAAACACTCTGCTGATAGTTTCCTCCAGAAATTCCTTAAATACTCCATCCTGATCTATACCTGCTTCATCTAAACCCTACAATTGTAAAGTAAATATGATTGCCTACATTTATATGATTATGTTTATAAAGAATAATGTCATACAACAAATGAGCTGTGTCGGATAGAAGTCAGCCTTATGCAAGTGCACATATACCTGTACATGTATAAGACTTTGGTTGATTTTGGAACATTAACATACGAAATCAAAGATGAATGTTGGTCTGTTTTGTAGGGTTCTTATAACAACTCAATTTTCAAACAGTTACAGACTTTCCGTCAAGATTTTGTCAACCTGAAATAGGTTGACAGATGTATTGATTTTCATTTTCATAAGGTCGATTTCTATCTGACTTAGCTCAAATCATAGTATTCATACAAAGACTTCACATATCCACAATATCCTTACTGTCAACACCTCTGCAATAAAAAGTCATTTAGTTCTGATCTGTGCCACAATATAGGCCTTCGACTGATACCAAATATTGTATATTAAGAAATTATTGTGAAGTTTTCATTTATGCGAAAATGGAAGAGTATCAGGTTTGCAATAATAAAAAATTTTATTCAGAATTTCAGCAGTGATTTTCCTTCGCAAAATGTTTGCAATCACATTATTAAATTTTCCATTTTTACCAGTAATCAGGGATTCACAATAATAAATGCACATTAATTTGTGAATTTACAATAAATGGATTCTATAATGAACTGCTTGTTTACTTTTACTTATGGAGGTAAAATCTAAGGATGACATCTTACCTGTTCATTTATAAATTTCACCCTGATGAGCCCCTTCATGGATTTAGTTGGTAGCTGTGCCAGTTGTCTGTAACCATCCTGTAAATAGAACTTGTCATTAATTTTGGTTTTGTAGCTAAATTTGTTAATTAATAACAGAATATTTGAACTACTTCATTACTGAAGAATATTACTGAAAGATCTAAAAGTATATTTACCTCATATCGACATATGTCAACAACATATCAAACCCTATTTACCCATCTTTAATGAAATCTAGACATAGGCAAAATGAATAAATTCTTCTAACTGGATGTGAATTTGGACAGCTTTATTTTCTTTTATCTGTGGTAGGATTGATTGATTGATTGTTGATGTTTGACACCACTTTTGGCACACTGGCTATTTCATGGCAGCCAGTTTTTATTGCTGGAGGAAGCCAGATTAACTGAGAGAATCACAGAACTTTCCAAAGGAAAAGTAAGTTTATCTTTGTCATTCCTATAATCAGAGATGATTAATAGGAAAGGTTTCTTAACATTTGTGTCATCATTCATGTCCGTTATTTAACATCTATTAGACAAGAGTTAATGTAAAGTGAGGGGTTTATTTTTACCTTATTTTGCAAAAACAACATTAGATATTACCTCTACAATCCGTGATCTGTGTACAGATATGAGTGTAGACTGTGGAGAGGTACAGGCAGATTCTGTAAAACCCATTGCTTCTTTTTCTTTATTAACATGTCTTCTAAATAGTTTTACTCTCTAAAAAACAGTTACAAATTTAAAAAACACTTTAGAACAAAACATTGTACATTATTTACAACTAATGGATTTCACAAAAAGGCATGACTTTTATTAAATCATTTGGAAAATAGAGTCACTTTTAGACATGTGTTCAATTTATTTAAATGATTCTAGAATCAATAATGAGTTTATAATATAGTTACTGTGCTCATGTATTTAAAACTTAACATTAAAATAATAATCAAATTACCAATGCTGAATTTTTTTTCTTCTATCTAAATAAAAGTAAGAAAGCAAACAAAAGTTTTCAAATTTCATAGAAGAAAAGATATATGTACAGTTGACTTTCTTATCTTGAAGTCAGTCGGACCAGTGTATTAGTTCAAGATAAATAATGAATTTTGAATGATTTTGTTAACCTTGGGACCGTAAATTTAGTTTGAGTCAACCGAAATTTTGACTCATCCAATTTCGAGTCATCAGGAGTCGAAATGTATATATTTATATGGAACAAAGTTCAGAACCATGTGAAAACTTCCACTCATACGAAATTTCGAGTCAACCGAGTTCGAGACAAGAAGAGTTAACTGTTTTTACAAACAGGTATCAGGTTAATAATGACAGACAGACATCATGGTTAATCCAAGCATACCTCTGAGAATGGAATGATGTGTGGTAATCTCTGCATCAGAAAAACTGCTGGTTTCTTCCCCTTCTCCAATTCAGCCATGAATACTGATGGCTTCACATCCCTATAATTTATCAAATGGAGATTATTAATATAATTTGGTGTTGGCATTTCTTTAATAATCTCTGTTAGATTTATTCACATATTTTAAAGTCTCAGGGTGTTTTAGAACTAAGACATACAGTATGGACACATTGTTAAAAATTATTTGTTGGCATCTAGCTGTCATTTATTTGTTCTGTGTTGTAGGATTGCTGTGTCATTGATGAATATCTAATATCTTTCTCCACCTTGAAGTATATATTAAATCTTCTTAGAGGATGTCAAAATGAATAAAGACCTCAAATATGTTTGGTCTTATCAAGTGTGCTCTGGAAAATATCAATTAAATGTTTGTTTAATTTTTTTTTGGATGAAAATTGACCATTACTATACCTCTTTGCAGTCATATAACCAGTTAAGATTTGTTCATTTATTTCCTTGTTAGTTATTTACGGTTTGATTACTGTTTTAACACTCCATTTGTGTGTTATTTTTGTAATTATATAAGTATTGTTAATTAAAGATCTAAACTTTTGATTTTAAATCAATGCAAAATTTGAAATTTTTAACTAAGTGAATTGAAAGGATATAGTACAGTGAGCCTGCACTAAAAATTGTGCTAGGTAGGTAGTTTTAATAAACCAATTATGGTTTGATGAAGGTGTATTTCAATCTAACTGCAAAATTTACATGATCTGAAGGGTGTTGTTAAGTATACCTAACAGGTAAATGTATATTAAAAAATTTTTGCAAAAAGAAAAACTGGCATTAAAGATTTTTATGGCATTATTTATATGCAGCAATTAATGAAATCACAATCAGAAATCAGTGATTTGTTGCTAAGTCTGTGTACGGGATCATTAACCAGATTTTGAAGGATGTAGTTTAGTATAAAAGAAGATGTGGTATGATTGCCAATGAGACAACTCTTCACTAGAGACCAAATAAAGTAGAAGTTATGCCTACCTGATTAACCAGTTATTTTAGAGGTAAAGTTTGGTATGCCTACCTCACAACCCAGTGACTTTAACAGGTACCTACCTGATTAACCAGTGATTAGGAGGAGTATAACTTCGTCTACAATCTCTTTCATAGAGTATCATCAATAGACCACGAGTTGATCCAAACACATCAGACGTTAATGCTGTTGTTGTGTCTATAAATACAAGGGTATATTGTATGATTAGTTTTTTTTGCAGAAAGTAAAATGTATTGCTTAAGGGAAATAAGAAATATAATGATATAAAACATTGCAGGACATCTTTCAAGATATCCAGATTGGAGTAAAATCTGAAATTTTTGCAATCTTTCTAAAATTGCAAAAATTTCAACAGGAAAAAAATGTGAAACAATTAAAAAGAGAAAACTATTGGCCTATTTTCTGCAAAAACTATAAACAGAAAACAAATAAGGTATACAACAAAAACTCATTTACAGGCTCCTGATTTTTTTTTTTTTCGTGTCAGGGCCTTTAATAGCTGACTATACATATATGGTATGGGGTTTTCTCATTGCACAAGGCCATACAGTGACCTATAATTGCTTATATCTTAGTCATTTGATATCTGGTGGAGAGTTGTCTCATTGGCAATCATACCACATCTCCTTATTCATATATTAACTGACTAACTGTGATTACATTACAGCATCATCCTAGTACTTACCTATCAAGTTGTTCCAGATAACACGGAAAACAAAACAGTTCAGAAATTCACTGATTTTTACATAATCTTCAAGTTTGAATAATCTGCCTTGTTCATACATTTCAATATCATCCAATGTTCTACAATGTTTACAAAACAGCAGTATAACAAACGCTCTTTTACACTAACTCACTATATGCAATATTCTAAATTAAACTCCATCTGATGAACCAACACATGTGTGAATCCTTTCGGTAGAGTCCATGAAGTGGATACTTTGGTATGCCAGGTTCTCAAATAATGCAAATGAATGCAACACTTAAATAATAATCAAAATTGACAACAACACTTCAACTGGTCTGCAGACCAGTTGAAGTGTTGTTGTCAATTTTGATTATTATTTAAGTGTTCCAATATTCTAAAGTTCACCTTCTTATTGCTTCTGTGGATTCATTTTAGTGGGTATCAGTTTGTATGAATTGATTTTAGTGGGTATCAATTTGCATGGATTGAAGAAAATTTGCATTTCGTGGGTATATGATTTCTTGGTTTCGCCAAAGTCTCCATACAAGCTTATAGAAAATTTGAAATTTGTTGAACATTTAAATTCATGGTTCACCTACCAAATCCATGAAAATTGGTATCCAATGAATAGTAAAGAATCAACAGTATTTGTCTGCCAGGATATTATAGGTGTAGAAACCTACATGTTTTTACTATAAGTAATTTGGACAGGACTTTTTTACAAGTATGGTAAACACTAATAAGGAATCTGTCAAATAAAAAACCTACTAATTCTTTTTATCTGCAATTTGCACATTTTTCCTTTGATCTTACTGCCTAATATTTTTAAGATCATGGACAGGACTTGATACTCGAAAATATTAGGCAATGATGTTATGTATCAGTGCAGCAATGTCACATGCTCAAGGTTTTCCGCATCAATTTATCAATGAAATGCACAAGACTTCATTCATACAACCCAACAACTTTCTGCTCGCAACTAAGCGGCTCTCTCGATAGTCAGTATCAAAAACAAAAATGCCATTATTCTATATATATCATGTTTTCATATGTTCCAGGATTCAAAAAGATAATGAATAACTGCAAAAGTATTCCTAACAGTCCTAATGTATCCATGATCAGGTGAAAAATCAAGCTAAAATGTCTGAACACTGCAAATTGTACTTAAAAACAATATTTGAACAAGGCTTAAAATGTTTAATATCTAACTTACATATTTTCAATATAAAAATAAGAAAAAGTGGTATGATTGCCAATGAAACAACTTTCCACAGACACCAAATGATGTTGAAGTGAGCAACTATAGGTCACTGGAGCAATATATATAAAACGACCTACAAAATAACTAAACATTCCTAATTAATAGACAGGCTAGACATACTTACATAATGAAATGACTGGCTGCATCACAAAACACGGTCAGAAGACTAAATACTGGGTGAATAGTACTGTTTGGTGCTTGACTAAGAAGCTCTAAAAAACTCTTCAATCCACAATTTGGTCCAAGGTCCACTAAAAACTTCCACAAAATTGGTAATAATACATCATTGTAACTTAAACCTGTAACATTGAAATATATCTAGTTTATATGATGTTGTAAGGGGACTTGTTTTATTAGACACTGATCTCATTTAACTTTGAATATACTGTTATTAAGACTTTCAACAAGAAACTAATACACGTGACTAAATTTAAACAACGGGTTGGTTATGTTCAGTGATAATCATGTAACTTACTTTTAAAATAGACAACTTGCCACTCAGTATATACATCCTGAGTTATAATAAAGTGTTGAGTTATCTCTCAACAAGCAACCTATCTCAAAGACAGTTAGACAATATCAATTATGACAATTAAAACATGGTTTTAATCCATCTCATCTCAAGTGAACCATTCCGAGTTGTGATAAAGTGTTGACTTACCTCTGAGTATATCCATTCTGAATTAAGATAAAGTGTTGATTTATCTTACCTCCAAGAATATCCATTCTGAGTTGTGATAAAGTGTTGATTGTTCTCTGGTATAGGACACATGGTAGACATGTAGAGGTACTAACAGAACTATCTAATTTGATTTTAGATCCTGATGATTTTGTTGAAGCTTTATCTAGTGCTTTCTTCAATATATCTATAACAAAAATTAATATGCTTTAACACAATAAATGCATAACATAAATATTGATTATAAAATATGTACTGCAACTTCTATGCATACATTTTCTTGTCAATTAATCAACAGTTACCTTCTTATGAAAGGAATTGGTTTTTTTTCTGTTTGCAAGATCTGTATCAATATGCATGTCAAGATACAAAAGATTATTTTAGAATTTGCTTTCTCTCTAGAAAAATTCTGTTATGATGTAGAGAAATTAAGAGATTTATAGTTTTTCTCTTTACAGTCAGGGGCATTACTTAAATAAGTAACAATTAAAATTACCTATACAAGTAATGTTGAAAACGAGGCTATTTTAAATATTACTTATATAAGTAACTTTTCTGAATATTATTTTTATAGGTGTCGGATTATACAGATTTTAGTAGCTTTAACAAATTTTCACAGTCATCTGGTTATTTTTCCCATGAAATATAAAATCTAATCCTTCTGAAACACTAATTAACTTTCTGACGCACTTATCTTTCATACTGACGCTTCTGGGTCAAAGATTGGTCTCATGGGACTATTAAATTATCATTTTCCTCCAAAATCTTGAAGGCAGACTGATATAAATAGATTAATACTTGTGAATTAATTAAGACTTGAAGTTATTTATAACTTGTAACCAAAATCAATTACATATGTTCCTTCAATAAGTGTTATTACTATTTTTTTCAAAAATGTATAAAATAACTTATTCAAGTAATATTTTTGTCATTATTTTTAAAGTAACCCTTTATCTCTATACTCCTCTCAAATCTAATAAATTCTTTATTTTATGATATAAAATGATGTAAAAATTCATGAAAACTACATTTAGTCTATGCTTCTATTGAAATTTAAAATAACTCTATTAAGTAATTTTATTATTTTTAAAAACAAAAATTACTTATATAAGTAACTTAAAAAAATAACTTGTTTAAGTAACACCCCTGACTGCTTTAAGTAGAAATTTCTATGAAGATTTCAGATGCAATAATTTATTTCTCCAAGATGCAGAATTTTTTGTTGGCACTATCAGGATTTTTTCTATGTACATTAAGATTATGTGAATCATTCTATTGGCTTTGTTAGCAAAAGTCTAATTAATTGAGATGTTTTGACCTTATTTTGGAAAGTGAATAATTGTTTTTTTAATGCAGATTCAAAAGCAGTAACCTTCTCTTTGAAGACAGAAAATTGTGTTGGTTTTCTACGGATTTATATATAATTCAGTGAAGATTAAGATTAGGATGTGGTGACCTACTTTTTGAAGGTGAAGGATTTTTACTGGCTTTCTCTGTATCTATTTCTATGTAGTTTAAGAGATCAGCAAACATCAGTCTTATCATCTTTTCACTCCATAATAACTGTAACTGTTTAACTACAAACGGCATAGATGCATGCAAACTGAAAATAGAAAAAATTATATTAGAAAAAAATTTAAGAATCTCCTGTTTCAGTATTTTGATTTATCTGATATAAAAATGCTTGTAATTGATGAATTAAGAAAGAAAGTCCCTTAATTCTAAGTCAGATCTTAAACTCAAGGACATACATAGAAAATGTATCGTCATTCAATAAAAATCTGTAAAGTAAACTGGAAAAATCATGAGACAACAGTAAATTGTATAAATTTTTTCACAAATAGAATATAATAACTTTGGAACAACAAATCTTAAAAGAGTCAATGGTGAAAGCAACCTGGTCTTGAGGAAACCACTCAGTGTGTTAAATATCAACAGATTCCATACAGCAAATTTAACTACATCAATGTTTCATGAAAAAAAAAAAAAACCCTCAAAAACAGCTATAAAAACTGACATATTAAAAATCAAACATTTGGTGCTGTTTTATTACAATTTGTTTGCATGCTGCATGCCTTGTTTTACTTGTTATTGCATATGTTTTTATATTCGGTGAAAAGCTCATTAGAGCTTATGTTGTAATATGTTTGTCAATATGCCGAATCAAAATAAAGTTTTACTTACTTACTTATTTACTTTGTACAACATTAATGTGTCGTTGTTTGATGGCTATTGCTTCATCATAAACATCTTTTTCGATTGTTTTTGGTAGCTTCTGTCATCTGTCCAATTGTTAATGATTAAAACCAATTATAGAGTAATCAGGTAATAAAAGGCAGAAGGCTTTTGGATTTAGTCACTCAGATTTGCGTAACTCAAAATTCATATCATAGAGATAACTTTACTTTAAAATGCCTAAAATCATTTATCCTCTTACCTTGGATCTGTCTTCTGGGAAAACCAGCCCAGAACAGGATGCCAGTGAGTTAAACTTGATTTTTTATTCTGTACATATTTCTTACAGTTTTCCAGAAGCCGAATAACAACTGTCTATAAATAGAAATAATGAATCTTCATTTTTTTGCAGCAACAAATCAAATAATTGAAACAGTAGTTGACCAATTAGAAACTTCATAAACCGAACACTAAACAATTAAATAAAACAACAAGAATGGTATGATCATTAACAAGAAACTATCAACCAGATTTTGGATTGTTGGAATGTTATATTTGTTGTTTTCTATCGTTAATTAATGTATCATTTAATTATGGAATAGATAGTAGTAGTAATTTGATTGAAGGTCAGGTTATGATGTATATATTGCTAAAAGGTCATGCATTTCTCAGACAATTTATGAAGTCCTTACTATAAATTCATTAGATGTGTACTGACTGATACTTGAGTCTGGAAGAAGAATATGTTTTCTTTATTAAATGTTATTGGCTTTGAACTAGCTTTCAGTAACTGCAAGTACTCTTATATCAGTGCTTTATGTCTATTGTTTTTATGTTTATTGTTTATAGGCTTGTATCAATCTTTTGAGTTCAGCTATTAAAATTGCAACAGATTTTTACAGTGTGTTTTTATGTTGTGCTGTTGCACCACTATCCTAGGTAAGGGGAGGGTTGAGCGCTCACAAACATGTTTAACTCCATCACATTCTTTAAGTGCCTGTCCCAAGTCAGGAGCCTGTAGTTCAGTGGTTGTCGTTGGTTCATGTCTGTCATATTTGTTTTTCGTAAATTGTTTTGTTATAAATTAGGCTAGTAGTTTTGTTGCTTGATTGGCTCACATTTTTCATGTCAGGGCCTTTTATAGCTGACTATATACAGTATGGGTTTTTCTCATTAGTCTATAATTGTTTATATCCACTTCATTTGAACTCTGGTGGATAGTTGTCTCATTGACCTATAACTGTTTATATCCACTTCATTTGAACTCTTGTGGATAGTTGTCTCATTGATCTATAATTGTTTATATCCACTTCATTTCAAATCTGGTGGATAGTTGTCTCATTGACCTATAATTGTTTATATCCACTTCATTTGAACTCTGATGGATAGTTGTCTCATTGACCTATAATTGTTTATATCCACTTCATTTGAACTCTGGTGGATAGTTGTCTCATTGACAGTCATACCACAATTCCTTAATTTTATATAGAAGAATAATTCATTACTAAATATTTTCAAATTATCTTTTGCCACTGGAGTTAACCAAGCCACAATCAATCAAATTATCTCCCCTTGATAATATATTATATATGCATGAATATCACAATTATAATAACATATCAATGAAAATAACAAATAAAACAAAACTATTTTATACTCATTTACTTACCATAAATTTGATTGTATTTTCAACAAGACCCTGAAACAATAATAATTCTTGTTCATGTAATATTGAAATACTGAATCAAGTTGTCTGTATTTTAAAATAAAGGCCAATGTTTGAACAACACTACTGCATTTGAAAATATGTTAATTTACCATTATAATCAGTTTCTCCTTAGAAATATATCTTGTTTATTTTAAATTACAACAACAACAAAATTCACTTAGTATATTATAATAAACTGATGCATACAAGCATCTGAGCAAAAACATTAAGCAATGTCAGATAATAGTTTTCATATTTTTTTCTAAACATAATGAAACTGGGAAATACTAGCCCCAAATGCACTATTAAAGTTACACATAATAATTGTTCATTAATTTGATTTCTTATCCAATGAGTATCATATATTTTTCTGACTTGTGGAAAACAACCTCATAGCATTTTTGCTCTGACATTATATAAACATAAACACTTACCTCTAATTCTACAAAACCAAGATGTACCATGTTTGCTGCAAAAGAAAAAAAAAACAGAATTTTCAGCTTCAGACCATCTCATTAGTCTTAAAAAAAGTAAAAATGGCAAATTCTTTAACATTCCTATTTTATAGTCGTCATAAAATGATAAGCATGTACTTTTTGTTTTTAATTTCAAATAAGCTGACACCAACATTTAAACCACAGCTAACCATATTAAATATAGGCAGTTATTATAATTATCATAATTAGTATAGTTTCTTTCTTATTGTTGAACAAGATCTTTATAAAAATCAACCAATACCCACCCAGCAAGCATAGTGCATAGTTTCCTTCTAAGGTATTGAAAATAATTCTGGTACTTTGTTCATTTGACAGTAGATCTAGAGATCTCTTAAATAGTCTGTGAGTTACCAGTACAGTCAGACACTGAAAAAATAAGTGCAAATTGATTATCTATTGGCATTAACTACTAAATTTAAATTTCTTTATACATTTCAGAGTGATTTAACATCAAAATAATAGCTTGATTTCTTCAATTAACTTTATTATGGTACCAACCCCTACACAGAACAAAAGCTGCATGGTAGACAAAAGCCCTCAATTTATAATTACATATCATCCTTTTTACTTATGCTTCTTTCTTAAAGAATAATAGACCTAAAATTATAAAATTTATTATCTTAAAAGTACTAGGTAATAAAACAAATTACAAGAAGTTTAGCAACAATATTTCAACTATTTGAAGAAAAAAAAACAATATAAAAGATTTTCAATGTAAGTGCAACTATTAAGAGTCTGTTTTCTTAACATTACCGTTAACTTGCATTATGTATGACAGCTGTGACACAAAATGTTTAACTAGGGTGACATCCTCAATATAATATAAATGACAGCAGAAAATTTTTTTTTTACCTCAGGTGACATCCTCAAAAGACACCCACTATTTACCTTGTGAATATCCTCTGTCATACATATGATAATGAGTATTGCACATGAGTTAAAGTGAGTCATCTACGCTCATATCAAATCAAAAATCGCCCATTTAGATTAAGACCGGGGATAAATTCGTTATATACATTCATATCTGTAGATATGGGTATTTTAACACCCTGAAGTACCCCAGTACACCAAGTACACCCTGAGGCAACCTCAGATTGTACTGGGGTACTTCAAGGTGTTAAAATACCCATATCTACAGATATGAACTTATATAACAAATTTATCCCCGTCTTAGTCCGATTCAGGCGATTTTTTGGGGGGAAATTCAGGCACAAAGTGTAACGTGAAAGCAACATTTTTTTTTTTATCTAGAAAGTTTTTATAGAAATTTGGAAATTTTACATATATTTTACTGGGTCTAGGGTAAAATCCTAGTTGTAGTAAAAAATAAGACGCTTTTAATCTGGAAACAGGAAAAAAAAAGTTTAAATCAAATTTGGCACTCAATGTACGTGCCAAGCATTATGTCATAGACAGTGTGATATCAACATTCGTCATTTGCATAACTAGGTCAGTTGTCCCATTCATTGGTGATGTAGACTTATTGGCGATGTGGTAGCCAAAAGATTCATTTACTAAAATGAATTCCAATGATCGGCATAATAGGATAGCATCGTTAGTGGATTATATATTTAGAAATCATGGATAATCTACAGAATTCAATTTTTGACTGGGAACAACCACAGAACTAAGGAAAACACATGTGAATTTCCCCAGGGTAATGGGTAGCAACGCCTGGGAATATGGGTTAGCAATACCCAGGGCTATGGATTTTTTAACGACGGTCATAAGCCAATCAAAATCTGAGAAATATACTAAGCAAGGAATAATAAAGTTTTGTCAATATCAGATATCAATGTATAACAGTAAACACAGACATATTTACCTCTTGTGACAGATTGGACACATGATGTATAACAGCGGGGACAGACATATTTACCTCTTGTGACAGATTGGACACATGATGTATAACAGCAGGTACAGACATATTTACCTCTTGTGACAGATTGGACACATGATGTATAACAGCGGGGACAGACATATTTACCTCTTGTGACAGATTGGACACATGATGTATAACAGCAGGGACAGACATATTTACCTCTTGTGACAGATTGGACACATGATGTATAACAGCGGGGACAGACATATTTACCTCTTGTGACAGATTGGACACATGATATATGACAGCAGGGACACACATATTTACCTCTTGTGACAGATTGGACACATGATGTATAACAGCAGGTACAGACATATTTACCTCTTGTGACAGATTGGACACATGATGTATAACAGTAGAGACAGACATATTTACCTATTGTGACAGATTGGACACATGATGTATAACAGCAGGGACAGACATATTTACCTCTTGTGACAGATTGGACACATGATGTATAACAGCAGGGACAGACATATTTACCTCTTGTGACAGATTGGACACATGATGTATGACAGCAGGGACAGACATATTTACCTCTTGTGACAGATTGGACACATAATGTATAACAACAGGGACAGACATATTTACCTCTTGTGACAGATTGGACACATGATGTATAACAGCAGGGACAGACATATTTACCTCTTGTGACAGATTGGACACATGATGTATGACAGCAGGGACAGACATATTTACCTCTTGTGACAGATTGGACACATAATGTATAACAGCAGGGACACACATATTTACCTCTTGTGACAGATTGGACACATGATGTATAACAGCAGGGACAGACATATTTACCTCTTGTGACAGATTGGACACATGATGTATAACAGCAGGGACAGACATATTTACCTCTTGTGACAGATTGGACACATGATGTATGACAGCAGGGACAGACATATTTACCTCTTGTGACAGATTGGACACATGATGTATAACAGCAGGGACAGACATATTTACCTCTTGTGACAGATTGGACACATGATGTATAACAGCAGGTACAGACATATTTACCTCTTGTGACAGATTGGACACATGATGTATAACAGCAGGGACAGACATATTTACCTCTTGTGACAGATTGGACACATGATATATGACAGCAGGGACAGACATATTTACCTCTTGTGACAGATTGGACACATGATGTATAACAGCAGGGACAGACATATTTACCTCTTGTGACAGATTGGACACATGATGTATGACAGCAGGGACAGACATATTTACCTCTTGTGACAGATTGGACACATGATGTATGACAGCAGGGACAGACATATTTACCTCTTGTGACAGATTGGACACATGATGTATGACAGCAGGGACAGACATATTTACCTCTTGTGACAGATTGGACACATGATGTATAACAGCAGGTACAGACATATTTACCTCTTGTGACAGATTGGACACATGATGTATGACAGCAGGGACAGACATATTTACCTCTTGTGACAGATTGGACACATGATGTATAACAGCAGGGACAGACATATTTACCTCTTGTGACAGATTGGACACATGATGTATAACAGCAGGGACAGACATATTTACCTCTTGTGACAGATTGGACACATGATGTATAACAGCAGGGACAGACATATTTACCTCTTGTGACAGATTGGACACATGATGTATAACAGCAGGTACAGACATATTTACCTCTTGTGACAGATTGGACACATGATGTATGACAGCAGGGACAGACATATTTACCTCTTGTGACAGATTGGACACATGATGTATAACAGCAGGTACAGACATATTTACCTCTTGTGACAGATTGGACACATGATGTATGACAGCAGGGACAGACATATTTACCTCTTGTGACAGATTGGACACATGATGTATAACAGCAGGGACAGACATAATGTTTAATACAAACACAGTCAGCAGATTGTCTGAAAAGTTGGCTGCCATCAGTGGTCTACAAATAAGTCAAAAAATCACCTTCATCAATACAATGCACAATGAAAAATGGAACACACTTTCTTAAAAATATCATAAATAATTTTTTTGAATTTCCAACTTATCTAAAAACAAGAGTGAACAAGCTGCGACAGTCAATAAGAAGATGTGCTATGATTGCCAACCAGACATCTATCCACCAGACACCAAATGACAAAGATGTAAGCAAAGAATGTCCTTTGATTTTTGAAATAATTTCTGGCACCTCTGAGTCAAAACTTACTTACATATACATGTGGTATAGCAAATTAATTTGGAGTTTTTTTCTGTTCAATTTTGTTCAAACAATGACTTCAGGTTGTCACGGTATATAAAATTTACTAACCTCAAAGCTATAGTAACCATTGCAGAAAGTGATGTCTGGTTAAAAGCACACTTGGTTCTTGAGAGACCTCTGGTTAATAAACCCTACAAAAAGATTTGAAAAAGCCATCAATATCCATTCCTGAAAATTAACCTTTTTTTTTTGGCAGTACATGTGACAGGCTCATTTCAAGTTCTTCTTTATTATTTATTTAATTAAAATTGAATAAAATTCCTTTCTTGTCATACAAAGTTTTAACTTTTTTGATTCGTATGTCACTGATGAGTCTTTATAGAGGAAATGGGATGTCTGGTGTACATTAATATAAGCCTGGGCTGATATGCATAAAACCACTTAAGTTAAGATATCCAATGGTAGTACTCATTTATCGTAAGAAATGTAGAAAAATCTGTTCGTTCGGAACAAATCTTAACTAAAGGATGTTCGCTTGTCATGTTTTGGAATTTTTGTCAGATTTTCGGAATCCTCTGGTTTTATCCATTTGAATGTCTCAAAAAAGTTTGCCCATTGACACCCATTTTTCTTTTTATAAATCCTTTACATGTATAATGATAAGCCATCTGTAAAAGTCTTATAACATTTTAATTATTTTTAGATAGTTTTTGAGAACTTAAACTTGTCAATAATAAAGCTATGAAAAGTCAAGAGAGAACATTTTCCCGCCAAAATTTCAATGGCTAATATCTCGAAAACAAGCACATTGACCTATATATTTTTTTTGCTCTTTTGATTCCTCTATTCATCCCCTATCAATATAAACTAGTGTTTTAAAAAGCTTATTATTTTGAAACTGAGAAGCGAACTCCCTTAAGTAGCTTTATGCATACGGGCCCTGGTATCTTTGATGAGTTTATTGCATATCAAATATAATCCAAGATCAGAAACATACAATTATCAATTAAGTAATAAAACATTATTGAGTGCATATCACTGACACAGTGGGATTTGTATACCCTTTGTCAACAACAGCTACAGAATGAATATATGAATCCCTTAAACAAATTGGAAAAAAAATCCCCCCCCCCTTTTTGAAACCCCCCTTGGAGCAATAACCCCAAAACTCAATCCCAGCCTTTCCTTTGTAGTATGGAACATTGTAGTACAATTTCAGAGAGATCCATACACTTAAACACAAGTTATTGTCTGGAAACTAGAAAAATGTTTGTTTTTGGCCCTTTTTTGGCCCCTAATTCCTACATGTTTGGGCAATTAACCCCAAACTCAATCACAGCCTTCCCTTTGTTATATGGAACCTTGTGGTACAATGTCAGAGAGATCAATACACTTACACACAAGTTATTGTCTAGAAACTAGAAAAATGCTTGTTTTTGGCCCCTTTTTGGCCCTTAATTCATAAACGGTTGGGACCATCATCCCCAAAATCAATCCCAACCTTCCTTTTGTGGTATTGAACCTTCTTAAAAAATTTCATAGAGATCCATTCTCTTAAACAAAAGTTATTGTCCAGAAACCAATGTGTCTTCGGGTGACGACGACGACGACGACAACGACATCATACCATTATACGATCCCAAAAAATTTTTTGCGGTCGTATAAAAATTACAAAATACTTGAAACCATTGTAACAAATAAAATTTGCTCCAGATATTTCAAATAGTCTTTACATCTAATTGTCAGTAATATGTATGCCAAAGAAAAAAGATATAAAATGACCTAAAATAAAATTTATAATCTGGAAAAAATACAAAAGAACACACTTAAAGCGAGCAATGAAGAAGTGAGGGGCAGAAGAACCTTTTTCAGAAAGTCAGGATTGGGCCTTTATTTTTGTAGGAATACAGGTTTTACACTTATCATGACTCAGGAATGATTTATTTTTTGGGTTCAAGGAAAGAATGTTTTTTTTCCAGATTCAGAATTCATCTTTTTAATTTCCGGGAATTTAGGATGACACCGCCTCCTATAAGTTCCAAATATTTTTGATCAGTATAATTAAATACAAACCTTCAATATAGGGTAGAGTCCTCTGGTGTTAAGGTCACCCATGATGTTGTTACAGAGTTGATTTAAACCTGGCGCAAGTGCTGGAAAATATTTATTTCTGATATATAATTGATGATGTGTTGTATGAGCAGATAATTTATCATGCAAGTTAATGCTGCAAAATATGCTTAACTTATCATCTGGAATCATTATTTGACAGAAGTAGAGAAAAAAGAAGTGAAAATGTTTGTAATGAAAAACATTGTAAAATCAATAATAAATATATTGCATGCTTCAGACAAAAGTGAGTGTTGGTTTCCACAGCTGTCTCAGATACAATTCATACATTATTTTTGGTAGTAGAAATTGTGCTTTTATGCAAGGACATTATATGAACCAATTTTATCTCAGTAAAATCTTTTTTTCATAGAAACAAATGTCTTTCATGATAAAACTGTAAAATTTAAATTGATTGATTGATTGGTGTTTAACGCCACTTTCAACACTATTATGCTATTTTGTGGCGGTCAGTTTTTATTGGTGGAGGAAGCCAGAGTGCCTGGAGAGAACCATCGACCTTCGGTAGGAAAATTAACAATCCTAGTCAATTAAGATTGGAGTCGAGTGCACTAGCCCCGAGTTGGATTCGAACTCACAACCTCAGTCTTTGGTTCAAAAATAAAACTTTAAAGTCATATTATACATGGGGAAACCATGTGGAATACCTAATTGAGATTCTAAGATATGTAACTTGTGTTCTTTAAACTATTTTCCTTGTAGATTTACTGGTAAATACAATTAAAACTCTCAGTAATAGTGTTTGAGGGGACATCCTGTGGAATACCTAATTGAGATATTTACCTGGTGTAGTTTTAACTATTTTCCATGTAGATGTACTGGTAAATACAATTAAAACTCTCAACAATAACATCATCACACTAAAGTCAACATGGTTCTCTGGCTAAAAATAAAACAATTCAGATCATGTCATGATTTAAAGTACAAACAGGGTTTTTCTTGTGTGTAAAAATCACTCTACTTAGTGTTTTGGATTGTGATCAGAGTGATTGCTGGAGATTTGAGATAATAACACACTGATATACAAACCTATCATGTATTTCCTGTGTAAAAACCAGTAAGTAAAATAACAAAAATACCGAACTCCAAGGAAAATTCAAATCAGAAAGTCCTTTATCAAATGGCAAAATCAAAAACTCAAACATTTCAAACGAATGGAAAACAAAAAATGATGGATTAAACCTGGTTTTATAGCTAGCTAATACATGTGCACAAATCAACACAAAAAGTGATGTTTAACTGATTTATCTTGGTTGTACTGTACAATACATCATTTCAAATTGACATATATACAAATAAGGAGATGTGGCATAATTGCCAATGCAACCAACTATCTACCAGAGACTAATGAATGAGAATGTTAACAACTATAGGTCACTGTACCACCTTCATAAGGGAGCAAAACCCATACCTAATACATCATGTAAATATAATTCACTTAATTTAATTGTGAAGAAGATTATACAATGATATCCTTGACCTATGCAAAAATTATTTTTTGTAATTTCTGGTATCTTATGTATTATCAAGATCAATGTAGTGATAAGGTACTTTGGATTCATTATTATTCGTGGGATACCAATTTTTGTGGAGATTGTGGGTATAATTAAACCACAAATTTAAATTTTCAACGAAGTATAAATTTTCTATAGGCTTATATGCAGACTTTGGCAAAACAAGGAAATCAAATATCCACATAAATACAATTTTTCCTTGATCCATAAAAATTGGTATCCACAAAATGAATGAATCCACAGTATCAGTAATATATCACTATGGTTGTCTATCTTTTTAACATGGTAACTACCTCTCAACATAGCTTCTTAGAAATACAAATGTTTGGCTGATATCTTCAACTGTGTGTATCCATTGTAATTATAATGCCTTACCTTTAGTTCTTTTAAATAACAACAACATTTCCAGTTGATATCTTTGACTTGTTGTATCCATGACAACACAAACTCTTTCTTTAAAGCAACAGCAATATAACAAACCTGATAACAGATTGACACATACAAGATATATTCTGAATTGAATTTAAAACCATATAAAAAAGAAAAAGTTTAACAGATGGTTCCCACGGGTTTGACATTTCAAATAATCATTTTGAATGAAAGACATTTAATATACTTGAAGCTGGAAAATAATACAATTATCTCTTAATTTATAAAAAAAGAACTAATTGTTAATGATAATGAATAAAATTTCATCTAAAAAGTATTACAGGCAGACACTGATAGCTTACACCTTACAGCAAAATTAATATAGTTTCTAGTATAACAGTCTGTGGACTTCTTTATAAACTGATAGGTTATTTTTCATGCTAAATACATTTGAAGGTGTAATTAAAATGATATAAACAACACACAGTTATCTTCTTCAAGTCTGATTCTGTCTGAAAGTTACTTATAATGTAAATCTAATCCTCTTGCACCTGTACAAGAAATTTATATAAAAGAGTGCTTTTTTATGAAATGTCTGCATATAAAATTGAAGCACTTTTAAATTAATAAAACATTATTGTATTATGTGTGGTATATATAAAGTTTGTTGTTTGTAATCTAATCATATATATTTGATAAAATGATATTGATCCTCTAGAAGTCTTGAAAAGATGAATTTAAAGTAAAAATCTGGATTTATGAAAAGGATAATGAAAATATTGCTAGATAAATGGTAGTCAACCTTCAGTATCTTTTTCACTTATCATAAAATGTATAATAAAATGAGTAACCTTTATATCCTCAGAATCCATGGAACATAAAAGGTAACGGCACAGGTACAAAAATGCCTGGAAAATAAAAATAAAACATACCTAAAACTGAAAATAATTTCGAGAAAAAAATCAAAATACACATTAAAGACTACAGAAAAAACCTAGGGGAAAATTCAGTAGAAACAAGTAAAACTGTGAGCTACTGCTCACTGATGATACCCCCGCCGAAATATTTCGGTAAACAGGAAGTTGTTGAGTGATGAATCTGAAAATGCATCACACGGTATTGCTGACTTATATAAACCCTGAAACCAAATTTCAGAAATCCGTCAAGTAGTTCCTGAGAAAAATGTGATGAAAATTTTCGACTTGGCTATCATGTGTAAAATAATACAAGTGTTCGGTAAACAGGAAGTTGTTGAGTGATGAATCTGAAAACGCATCACACGGTGTAACTTACTTATATAAACCCTGAATCCAAATTTCAGAAATCCTTGTCAAGTAGTTCCTGAGAAAAATGCGACAAAAACATTGATGGGACGGACGGACGGACTGACGTATGGATGGACTGACCGAAGGACAGACAGAGGTAAAACAGTATAACCCCACTTTTTTAAAGCGGGGGTATAATTAAAGAGTTATGTATTATAATACAAAAGCTTGACTTGAAAATGCATGAAAAAATTTGACACTAGACATGAAACAAACATTGACAAATAACAATCAATAAATAGAAATGATACCATAAACAAACTCATCAAGATACAATTTAAAGAAATGAAATAAGAACAACGTTCAAGGTTAGTTTCTCTGTTCAATATTTATGAGTAAGATAGACAAATTTTGTAAGTGAAAATTGCAATGGCAATATCAATGTCTGACTCTTAATTTTTATATCTGAAAATATTATGACTGATAAGAAGTTCTTGGCTTGATGATTAAAACATAAGTTACCTCTTTGTCATCATCTTCCTTAAACTTGTATAAAACTTTCTTGATAGTCTTATAAACTTCTACAGCTGTTAATAAAAAAACAGTGGCTATAAATATTCCAAAGGAATAACTTCAAATCAAAATTAAATCACCTGAAAATCCTTAATCTATATTATCAAATTATAAAAAATATTGTTGATTCACTTTTTCTGTCACATTTTTATTTAATAAAAAATCATTGATCATATCTAAAGATTTTCTTTCTGTTATTTGTTTTACAACATATACACTATAATATTATTTTGGCATTAGAATTCTCTCCAACTTTGCTTTGTAAAAATCTTCCCTTTATCAAATATTATAGACTTTTAACGGCTATAATAAATAACATATAGTTCTAGGTTTGGCTTAACTTTTGGTCTTTTTGGGGTTTTTTTTCAGTGCTTCAACATTTGATGAAACAACATTTGTATAAATATAGACCTAGCATACTAAAATTAATAGGTTAATGTTATTTTTTGTGTTGTTACCTGGCTTCAACTTTGGATGATATTCACTATCTTTGTCTGTAGGAATCTGTAACAAGCCAGATACTTCATTTCTGTAATCAAACATAAAAGATATCCATCCGTGTATCTATGATGTTCAGGGGAGATAATTTGTTAATGGAAAATAAATAACATTCAAATACCAGGCTAACTGAAAACAGTATTCATCATTTCAGAATAAGTCAATTTCAACATTAAATTAGCATGGTTATATCAAATATTTTGTTGCATTACTTTTTTCGAAGTGTGCTACTTATAATGGTCTAGGTTTCATTAAAAATCTGCCAAATACAAACATTCATACAAAAGCTGCATGTTAATTTCTATAAGATTTTAATTTTTTTTTTCTAGATGTTATTGATTTGTTAATTGGGGCAGTTAACTGACAAACTGAATAAAAGTCACGACTTTTATGTAAAGTTTGTGAGTCAGCGACCAATTTACACATCAATAATCTTTAGACAAAATGTGTTTAATCCTTATAATTCTTTACCTGAACAATTGTTCTTTTTTTTCTTTTAATTTCACTTTTTTTGAACCCAACCCAAGGATTCCATTCATGTGTATCATGCAAAAGTGAAATAGACACAGCGTTAACATAGGTAGAAAAACTAGTTTTGAAAACAAGGTCTATTGAAGTGTAAGCCAAGAAGAGAAATTCTTACAATTAATCATATTCAAGTAATTGTAGATATGTAAATAATACAAGAATAACAAAGTATTGTTTTATTTGTGTACCTGTGTCTTTCTGTTTGTATATTTAACAAACTGTTATTACTGCCCGAGTTTTGTTTTTGTGCTGAAAATAATTTTTATAATGTGGTTCATTTAACTTTATCTGCAATTTGTACATTTTCCCTATGATCTTACTGCCTAATATTTTTCTATATCATGGACAGGACCTGATATTAAAAAATATTAGGCAATGACCTCACGTAACAGTGCAACAATGACCTCATGTAACAGTGCAGCAATGTCACACTTTCATGTCTATCCACGTCAATTAATCAATGCAATGGATGCGACTTCATTCATACAACCGAATAACTATCACAAGTATAGTATGCATAAACATAATTTTACTAACTATTTCACTTTAGTTTGTATTCTTAAACCAAAAATAATATTGTTTAGACAAAATTGACGATAAAAAGAATAATAACATTTTATTTTTTTAAATGACTTCATCAGCCAGCCCTTGCTTGATATTCTTGCTGATACAGTCATTTTCAAAAATGCAATTATTCTATATGTCTTTGTGATTTTAAGCTGAATATATCTCGTATATATTTGTTTATTGTTATATTTAAATACCGACAATCTGTACAAGGTGTTACTTGTTTAAAAGATTACTCTCCACGACGGTGAATCTCACAGTGAATGCTGGTGATTTTGGGTGATTCAATCTGAAATATCTCAGTGTTTTATAACAAAGGTTATACATAGGAGGGTAGTAAATCAGAGTGCCATCACCTTCAATCATCAACAACTACTTATATCACAGGTTATGCGACATAGTCAATACCTATCTTGTTTAAGTGTATGTGGACCTACAAATGTCTTTTTGTTTTTGTATTAATTAGCTATTTGCATGAAGTTTTGTTCATGTAGACACAGAAATCATCTTTTATAATATGTAGATTCTCACGACAGAATTGGTCAGTTTCTTACTTTATTGATCTTGTAAGTCTACGTCTCTCAAGGAATCCACGTACCACACACTGTAAAATAAATTGTAAAACAGATAATTAAAAGCCTACTTCTCTCAGAATCATGAGTGCATGTACAATACTGTTCTTATTCTATCTTTTAGTGGTCTAAAGTTTAAAATCTTATTCAAATACAATGTAATTGTTATTCATTCTACATTGTTCTTCTATTTAAAAATGTTAAAATGTGATGTATCCAGGTTTTAAATACTGAACAAGTCTACCATGTTTACTCTGTACATTGCAGAAGATCATCATGATCATATCATGCATGTTCAGGAATCTGATGTTCAGTAGTTGTCGTTTGTTGATGTGGTTCATAAGTGTTTCTCGTTTCTCGTTTTTTATATAGATTAGACCGTTGGTTTTCCCGTTTGAATGGTTTTACACTAGTAATTTTTTTGGGGCCCTTTATAGCTTACTGTTCGGTGTGAGCCAAGGCTCCGTGTTGAAGACCTTACTGTGACCTATAATGGTTTACTTTTATAAATTTTTACTTGGATGGAGAGTTGTCTCATTGGCACTCATACCACATCTTCTTATATCTATGTCTTCCTGTACTGTTTATAACATTGTTGTACGACATCTATTTATAAGTATAGTCACAAATAATAAGTGTTCAATCTTGTTTATAGTACCAAACCAAATTTTCCATGTATCATATTTTCAACAAATATTTTTATAATTTTTTTTTTATTTTACTTGATCGATCAAGGACCCAAAATGCGAAATGACAATAAACAATTACAATTTGCAAAAAAAAATGTTTCTATCCATAATAAGACATAATAAAATGCTTCGCTGGGGCGCAGCTTGATACGACCGCAGAGGTTGAACCCTGAACAGTTGGGGCAAGTATGGACACAACATTCAAGCTTGATACAGCTCTGAATTTGGATTGTTATTAAATATTTGACACAGCATAGGTTTCTGACACAGAAAGAATGTGGTCTAAGAACTTGATTTTTTTTAATTTACCTATTATGGTCCAATGTCCAAAATCAAAATACATGGTTAGATTCAGCATATCAAAGAACCCCATATATTCAATTTTTGTTAAAATCAAACAAAGTTTAATTTTGGACCCCAACTTAGACAAACTTGAAAACTGGGCCCATAATCAAAAATCTAAACACATGTTTAGATTCAGCATATCAAAGAACCCCAAGAATTCAATTTTGGCTAAAATCAAACTAAGTTTAATTTTGGACCCTTTGGACCTTAATGTAGACCAATTTAAAAAACGGGACTTAAAATTAAAAATCTAAATACACGGTTAGATTTGGAATATCAAAAAACCCCAATAATTCAATTTTTGATGAAATCAAACAAAGTTTAATTTTGGACCCTTTTGACCTCAATATGAACCAATTTGATAGCGGGGCCACAAATAAAAAATCTAAGTTCATGGTTAGATTCAGCATATCAAAGAACCCCATATATTCAATTTTTGTTGAAATCAAAAAAAATATAATTTTGGACCCCAACTTGGACCAACTTGAAAACTGGGCCCATAATCAAAAATCTAAACACATGTTTAGATTCAGCATATCAAAGAACCCCAAGAATTCAATTTTTGTTAAAATCAAACTAAGTTTAATTTTGGACCCTTTGGACCTCAATGAAGACCAATTTAAAAAACAGGACCCAAATTAAAAATCTAAAAACACGGTTAGATTTGGCATATCAAAGAACCCCAATAATTCAATTTTCGATGAAATCAAACAAAGTTTAATTTTGGACCCTTTTGACCTCAATATGAACCAATTTGATAGCGGGGCCTACAAATAAAAAATCTAAATACATGGTTAGATTCAGCATATCAAAGAACCTCATATATTCAATTTTTGTTGAAATCAAACAAAGTTTAATTTTGGACCCCAATTTGGACCAACTTGAAAACTGGGCCCATAATCAAAAATCTAAATACATGTTTAGATTCAGCATATCAAAGAACCCCATATATTCAATTTTTGTTGAAATCAAACAAAGTTTAAATACTGGAACCTATCTTGGACCAACTTGAAAACTGGGCCCATAATCAAAAATCTAAACACATGTTTAGATTCAGCAAATCAAAGAACCCCAAGAATTCAATTTTTGTTAAAATCAAACTAAGTTTAATTTGGACCCTTTGGACCTCAATGTAGACCAATTTAAAAAACAGGACCCAAAATTAAAAACCTAAATACACGGTTAGATTTGGAATATCAAAGAACCCCAATAATTCAATTTTAGATGAAATCAAACAAAGTTTAATTTTGGACCCTTTTGACCTCAATATGAACCAATTAGATAACGGGGTCCACAAATAAAAAATCTAAATACATGGTTAGATTCAGCATATCAAAGAACCCCATATATTCAATTTTTGTTGAAATCAAACAAAGTTTAATTTTGGACCCCAATTTGGACCAACTTGAAAACTGGGCCAAAAATCAAAAATCTAAATACATGTTTAGATTCAGCATATCAAAGAACCTCATATATTCAATTTTTGCTAAAATCAAACAAAGTTTAATTTTGGACCCTTTGGACATTAATGTAGACCAATTTGAAAACTGGACCCAAAATTAAAAATCTAAATACACTGTTAGATTCGGCATAACAAATAAATAAATGTGATCAAAGATTTTACAAATCTAATGCGCCATACTGTGCAATTAAAGATTACTTCTTGAAATTTTTCAATATTTGAAATTTGAAAAAAAAATAATATTTGAAGAATAATTCTTTTTAATTTCTGAAATCTGAAATGAGAAAAAATTGGCCCCCCACAATTTCTTTTTATCCCCCCCCCCTTTTTCCCCCAAAAAAATTCTTTCCCTCAAGATATGGTCATAATCTCAATTCAAATTTCCAATGGAGTTGGCAACCATAATTACCCATTTAAATTTACCATAGTGCTAACTTAATCTATTTTATAATAGAATTAATAAAAATATAGTGTCAAATCTTTCATATGGATTTTTTTGTAAAAAAAAAAGATGAAAACATTTGCAGATATTTTTACTGGTCTTCCTTTATAAATATGCATTTCTTTAAACATAATTTAAAAGCAGTGTAAGGGAAGTAACCAAAACGTTGTATTTGGATTACCTCCCTTACACTGTTTTAGATTATCTTTATTGTTCATTAACCATTACTTTATACATAATTTAAAAGCAATGTAAGGGAGATAATTTCAATGATGTATTTGATTTATCTCCCTTACACTGCTTTAAATTATGTTTTGTACTAAAGTATTTGTCCATTAACCAGGACAACCTTGTTTTTCCCCCTTTTTTGCCCCTAATTCCTAAACGGTATGAGCCATAACCCCCCAAAGCAAATCCTAACCATCCCTTTGTGGTATGGAAACTTGTAGTATAATTTCAGAGAGATCCATACACCGTTCCACAGTTATTGTCTGGAAACTAGAAAATGCTCATTTTTGGCCCCTTTTTGGCCCCTAATTCCTTGACTGTTGGTACCATAACCCCCAAAATCAATCCCAACCTTCCTTTTGTGGTATTTAACCTTATGGTCAAATTTCAAAAAGATCCATTCACTTAAACTAAAATTAGAGTGCGAAAACCAATATGTATTCGGACGACGACGCAGGACGACGACGACGACGCCGGACGACGACGACGACGACGACGACGACGCCAACGTCATACCAATATACGACCACAAAATTTTTTTGCGGTCGTATAAAAATTGCAAGTCTATAAAGTTTAACTTGGAGTATGAATTATATACAAAGGTTTAACCTGAGCCTGAAGAAAGAAATGAAAATGGCATTCAAATGGTTTCAAAACCAGAATAGACACCAAGGGCTTTATCATATAAATCTAAAGATTTTGGTTCTTCTCGCCTGAATTTTGATAACTGCAATCTGTCTCTTCTTCTCATAGGCTCTGTCATCTCTTAGTGCTTTTGTTTGGTCTAAAAAACTTTTCTTCTGAGCATCTACCTTACCAAACATTCTGAAATGTATGATTTATACATAGGATTTCTTTGTCAAATACATTGTTGTATATTAGATAAAAAAAAAGTTATGGATTATGCATGTAGGTATTGGTAAGCATCAAGGATAATTTCTTTGGTGAGTTTCTCCTTGAAGCACTCAGTAGTGGTGCTGCAGGCTATAAGGTATTTAGCTGAATTTAGTCTCCGAATGACCTTAGATCCGTCTCCGAATGACATTAGATCTGTCTCCTAATGACCTTAGATCTGTCTCCGAAAAACCTTCGCACGTCAAGTAACAATCACTTTTTAATTATGACATCAAATTTTTTAAATTGTGATGTCAAATTTTACAGGAACTTGTGTGATTTTAAGTAATGGCAGACACATTTGCATACAAGTGTAACTAGTGTAACTATGTCTATACACCTTATCGCTTTTCAGTCCAATCCGGAAAAAACAGTTATTTAGACAACTTCCTGTTTGGGTCAACAGGGAAAAAAACAAAGGTCATCAGTAACGAGCTGAGGAAGGGAAAAATTTAGAAAGCGATCAATAGGAAACTTTGATAGATTATGATCCACTTTCATGACTTTTTTTGAAACTCAAATTATAGTCAAAAAGATATTTTGTTTGAAGTATTTACGATGTTTTAAACATGTCTCATTAAAAAGTATCATGCATGGTGCATTGTTTAAACAGGGTCCCAGATAGCTTCAACTGGATGAAAAAGTTGTGTAATTTTAGGGGTAGGTCTTTTCACTGCCGAACACCGCCAAACACCCCAAAAGTGAATAAAAACTATGAAAAAATCAATAATGTGTGTCAATTAAAGCAGAAAACTGTTGAATTTGTTGATTTTGTATCGCAATTTCAAAAACCAATTTAACAGTGATACACATGTAGCGTTTGTGAAAGTCTATTTATTATGTCATTGTTTCTGTGAATCAAATACATAATGATTCAATGTATATTTCAATATAATTATTTTAGGTATTTTTTTGGTTCTGAGCAGATGAATTCTTTTTTTATTTTGTTCAATATATATATTTATGTAGTTTTAGGGTCTGTTTTTTGTCATTCTGTAGTTCAATTTCGCCTTCCTGATACTGCCTTAGTTTTTAACAAACAAACAAATAAAAGTTATATTTCTTAATAAATATTTGTTTGTATTTTTTATTCTGGACAAAAACGACACTTCATTGGAATATCAATTTACTGAACAATTTCAGAACACGGGAGCTTGGATGACAAAAACTATATATTTCTTGTGTTCTGCAGTGTCCTGATCCCGAAATCCTGGGCTTAAAAACATGGAATCCTGAGGTCCCGAATTTAAAAAAAATTTAAATCCCGACATCCCTAAATTCGAAAAAAGAATTCCCTGATCACGAAAGGATCAATCCCGAGCTTAAAAACACCCGATCCCGGAGTCCCGATAAAGGTCCTACCCCCCTCATTACAACAAAAGTTAAAATAAATAAATTAAAAAAAAATGATAAAAAAAGTATAATTATGGGTGTTCGACGGTGTTTTGCAGTGTTGATGACTCTTCTACTTTTTGGGTGTTATTAATTGCATGGTTTCGTTTCCTTTTTATTTGTCAAGCTTTTTACTAAAATACCTAAAATAGATAAGATAACATAATAAAATATTGTCTTTTTTCATAGATTTAGATTATTTTGGGGTGTTCAGCGGTGTTTTGAGGTGTTCGGTGGTGTGCGGTGGTGAAAAGACCTACCGTAATTTTAGAACTTATCCGGAATGGAATAAATAGTGATTAGGTGTATTAGTTCAATTAATTTGTTCCAATCTTTTTTTTCAATCTTTGATTGTATGTCCAATTGTTATGATGTAATTTGTCATAGTAATTAATTATACTAATAAAAAATCAAATCACACTTTTTTTTAATTACAACTGTCAGATACTGCAGGAACATATATATATAGATATACTGTTCCCAGGATACTGAGATAGATAATTATGACAAAAAATATAAAATTAAAAAGAGAGACTGCCATCTGACGATCCACAATATTCACAGCATCATTTTTTTTTTTTTTCATTTAACTGATATTGTCTTCATCGTAAATGAAACATTGCTAGTTACCTAATTTCCTCTCATTTCCATATCGTATTTGTGTTTGTTGTCAATATTTTCCTTTGGCTTTTCCTTCCATCACTTTTTAATATTGATTATCTCCCTTTCTATTCCAATAAGCTAAATTATGTCTGTCTAATCCAGTGTCTACATATTTCGCATTATTTATTGTATTCCCGCTGTTTGGTAAGTTGGAACAATGAACAATTAAGCTATGCACATTTTGTAACATGTATATTTTGTTTGTATAATTCCGAGCATTAATCTTTTTAAAGGTAGTAATTTGTTCGTTTGCTTTTGTTTTACCTTTTTACAGAAAAAGAATAGAAAACGCAGCCATCAGTGCCTGACTAACAGGCTTAAATAGTAAGATTTAACCGAAGCAAGACATCTCGGCACATTACAAACTCGGCACATGTCAACTCGGCATAGTGCAAACTCGGCACATTACAAACTCGGCATATTACAAACTCGGTCCAATAAAAATGTGTCAGATATATTATTGTGCCAATAGACAAAAACGTCTTTTAAAAATAGTTTTGAAAATAGAAAATCATTATGTAAAATTGAGCATAAATAAATATTTGTGTTTGTATTTAATATATTTTACGCTGAAATTCATTTTTTTTCTTTTTCTTTTTCTATAAAAAGTTAGATAAACATTAAAAATTGCATCCCCGTTTTTCAACGTATCTAATAAACTGTTGTAACACTAAACTGTAATAAATATGTAACATTGTCAATGATTTTATTATTGTTTCCTATTTAAATTATGTATTTTATTGATTATATTGTTATGATTTTATGATTATCTCCAATTAACTGCAATAAAAAGAATAGGATGGCTACCTTTATCCTTTTAATTAGAGAAGTTTCAGGAAACAGGTGTTGATTATATATTGCAGTATAATTATCACATGATAATTAATAACAGCGGTATTTAATGACAGCCTGATAACATTTTTATGATATCCCGTTAGTATAGCAGCTTGAGTTAATGCTGCTGAACTCCATGTGACAAATGCATACCAATTAAAATGTCAAGTACCGCCTCTTTTTAAATTTATTGCGTAAAAAGTACATATATATCTGGTAACAAACTAAAAATATAATCATAGTCTTTTAATATTTTTAAATTGTTTCACGAATTGCTCTGTATATCCGCTTTAATATTTAATACTTTCGTCCAAAAATGGGCACAGACCATTGTGTCGAGTGTTCCCGTGTTGTCACTACCAGACAACAAGCACTGACCTGTGATAACTGTGAAAGATGGGTACACAGAGTTTGTAATACAGGTATGTATATATATTAATTACATATTAATATATTGAATTTGTTTTTAATTTTTTTCTCTCACTATTTCAACGAATTTTTATCTTACAATTTTGTTTATGATTTAGTTAGATGAATCATCATCTTAAAATGCTTATGAAAAAATGCTACATACAGTTATCTTATTTATAATAAAATATTATTTTAAGAACTTGTTACTATTTATGCAACATATGGATAATTACTAGTAATAAATTGTTACGTTTTCTATCAATTTTGGGACATTTTGTCCGTTAACCTGAAATAATTGTCTTTAAAATGTATCACATATATATACTAGTATATATAGTTAACACATCTAATGTCATTCCGATGTTCTTCCTTTTATTTAAATTAATACTAAGAAGAGCGTAGTTTTCCGTAGTTCAATATATTAAAGTAAATACTGAGTAGGAAAACACATATTAAACTTTATACATAAGTACATCACTGAAGTGTCTCCTTACTTTGACTCTATAAAATTATCTCGCTCCAAGTCTTGTTATTTTCATTATTATTTGTTCTCGAATTTTCAACATAAAAAATGCACGTATATGATCACATTTTCAGGCATTAATCAAACAGACTATCGTCGTCTTATGAAAGGAAAGCTTGACATTGCATTTACTTGCAATCTATGCAAGAACACAACAGAAAATGCTCCTGTAGAATCCACCAGATTAGAGCAAGACAGTGAGCAACGTTCCACACTGACAGGATATGGTACCTTCAATATCTCCTTGATTAGCAGAAAATCAAACTCTATAAATTCCACATTCACAGAAGTACCTTCAGCTACGAGCAATCCAACAAATCTTCCCCATGCATCGCCAGTTAATACACCACACAGAAGTGGTTTATTACGAGTGCCAAGACGTATTCTGTCGCCATTGTCACCTAACAGGACATATAACGTTGTAAGTGTGGCACCAGAACAGTCATTAATGCAGCCACCAACATATAATACAACGAGAATACTCAGCCCTTCACTGCCCGATGCACCTCAGACACATTCAAACAGAACAACCAGTGTGCATCCTCTATCGCCCTTACCACTTGATGCGTCATTTGACTTTACCCATCACCAAGATGAAAATGACGACCAGGAGATTGTTGAAAAGTAAGATATATATATATATATATATATATATATATATTAAACAAATGTTTTACTTAAATGAATTTTTCGACTTTCATAAAATATGTCATAACATGAAAAAAAAAAACATATTGATTTCTTTGAAAAGTGTTTACACAAATAAATATTGCATTTCATAGCTTCAAAACTAGTCCTTACTTTCACAGAATGCTTATTATGTTTTCGTTTATTTTCACAGTTCCATACAAGAGCCGGAGTTGCCTGACACAATTTTACCAGATGGTCCACCTACATTTTCTATAATAGAAAAGGGGACACAAAGAAGTAATTTAAAACTGGTTAGCAGTGACGGTTACGAATACACAAAGAAGGTATATATTTTTTTCTAAGTACAGAATTGATATCTCTCGACAATTATCTTTTTAAAGCTTTGGCAAAAAGGTATCCACTTAAAATTATAAATGGTATGAATATGAATTATGAAATTAAAGTTAGACTTTTGATATCCTTGAAATATTAGCGGTTTACTAAGATAAGTTAATTACTGTACGACATGTATATTCTTTATATTTTAGATGTCTAAAGGCAATTTCACCTACTGGAGATGCATCAAACGATCAAAAGATGCGTCAATGTGACGTTTAACCATTTTAAATTTGAAAGTTGAAGGTTAAATTAAAAACATGTACACTTTACATGTATAGAATGTTTTGTATATCTTTCGTTGTATCTTTGTACCCCTGATATATTTGTATCTAAATCTCCTATTATATATACATGTAGGTTCTTGAATGTTTGAAGAAGAAGATTGGTGTACTCCATGTGGAAGGGTTTTGCTTGGACTTTGAAAAAGGTAAATTGAAAAATAAATCGAAATAACTTTAAATTGGTGTAAAATTAACTGAAAACTCTAGTACACTTTTGAGTACGGTGGATTTAGACACTAGCAACCTCTAATTATAGACGATTGACAATACATAGAATTGCTAATGACTTAGTAAGTGGTTTAATCTTTCATTTTCTCTTAACAGGTGCTTGGAAAGCAATACGACAGATCTTTCCAAATGCAAGCATCAAAGGTTGTGCTTTCCATTTCGGTCAAGCCATTTGGCGGAAAGTTCAAGATTTGGGACTGAAAACAACGTACAGCTCAAGAGGAGTGGAATATAGATACATCCGTACGTTGATGGCTCTGCCTTTCTTGCCTCACTCGGATATAAGACCAGCTTTCAATACACTGAAAGAACGTGCAAACTCCCAGGAATTAAAAGAGCTCGTTGTATACATCAGTTCAACATGGTTCGAAGGTCGATATTGGTGTCCAAGAACATGGTCAATCTTCCAACATTCCATTCGCACAAATAATGATGTTGAAGGTATACATATATTATGTTCTCTAAGAGCAATACTTATAAACCAAACGTCTATATATTATTCAACAATCTTTCTTACGTGAATCTTAGCAACGCCAATATTAAATAAATAAACATTAGATTTAAATTTCTGTATGATGTACATATTTCTTGATTTATATTAGTTTAAATCACAGGGGGGGTTTATAGAAATACGCAGCCACGGTGTATAAATGATTAACCTTTGGTCTAAATTAAAATTCAAAAATTATGCCTGTTATTTTTTTCTCATCGTAATTATTATATAAAATTGCTTTTTATGAATCATTTCCATAAATATATTCATTAATGTGCCGAGTATGTATTGGTAATGTGCCGAGTTTGTATAGACCGAGTTTGTACTATGCCGAGTTTAACATGTCCCGAGTTTGTAGTGTGCCGAGATGTCCTGTATTCGATTTAACTATACAAATCCTTGATAACACTTATCTTTAAAAGTGTTGCAAAATTTGTCGAGAAAAGTGTAAAAAAGCTAGAATCTGGCTTGGAAGGTAATGAAAAAAAAATCTGCATACACTTACCAGTGGCGGATCCAGAGAGGGTCTTATCCCCCCCCCCCCCCCCCTTTTTTACTTTTTTTTTTATTAAGACTGTAAAATGATTGATCAGATTAGATTTCGTTAACTTTGCCGTTTCCCGTTTATTTAATTTTTATGCGACAATTCGTTACGTAAAGATATTATTCGCTCGTATTTACGTATATAATATTATTGATTATGTCAAAGTCACGTAATTCGCTACCGTGGAGTTGACCAGTACGTCGCAAAAACGTCACTCAGTCATTTTGAAATTCAAATTACGGTAACACATTGCTAAGGCTGAGGATGACAGGCATGACGCTTTCGAAGCGACAAAGAATGGAGCAAGGACGTATTGACTCCTATTTGACAATTCCACCTAACAGAAGATAATACTCTATTACAATAACATGATAAAAACTTGGCAAATGATTCAATTCTACGCCCCCTTTTCAAAAATCATGGATCCGCCCCCCCTGCTAACGAAAATTTTCAAAGATCTAGAAGGTAAAGTAATTAACACACTGGAAACTAGTGTGCAAGCTATTCATGAATGAAATCAGAAGTCTGGTGATATGTATGATCAATGTAAAACTGAATATAAAACTTTGACTGGACAATTAAATAAGCGTTCCAAATTAAAAAAAAGTTGACAATATTGAGAAATTTTTGGAGCAAAGTAATTTGATCTCCGTGGACAAGGATTTGTATAGTGTCACTATACAAATCCTTGCCGTGACCAATGGTGACATCAACAAATTAGGTGCATGACAATGTAATAAAATGAGATTACAGACAAATTATTAGACATTTAGTGTAACAGTTGCCAGCGAGATCACCGTCAGCGACCGCGACCCGATGGTAAAATACATGTTAACTGTATCTAGTTCTAAATAGTCATTTTTTTTTAAATAATTGTCAAAAAGTTCTAGCAAAAATTGGCAGTGTTCATTAAAGCACGATTAATAAAAAATACATTTAAGATATGGATTTTCAATCGTTGAGTTTTGAAGATAGACCTCATTCTTTGTCCTTTAATTTATAAATAAAACAATATATATATATATATTTTCTAAGTGTTTTTTTTTTTAATTTTGTCTAAAGATTATATAGCAGCTAAATTCTTTGAAACTTAAACAGCGTCTTATTTGTCCTTTAATTTATGATTCAGAAATATATATTTTTATTAGTGTCTTTTTTATTTTTTTGCCTAAGTTTTGTCCAGAAGCTTTCTTTGTGACTTTAATATTGTGTATTTGCTGAACAATTAAGAACAATTTAAGAGGGAGGAACACACCGAATAGTTGATTTATATAATATATAAGTCATATTAATTATAACGAATATTAGAGAGTTAATTGTATGGAATCAAAATAACTATCATGCAAGTTGGGTATTCAGCGACCGATATAAGTAGGGTATTCAGCGACCGGTATAAGTGCAAACACAAATTGAGGACATTGACATATGGCCAGTGTATATCAATATGGATTAAAGCTCGACAGGTATCAGTCTCAAAATTTCCATCGACGTCCGTCATCTGTCATCGGTCTGTCGTCGACCGGCGAAACTTTAAAACATTTTCTTTAGAACTGACCCGCCACCAAACCATAATCTCCGCTTTGGCTTTAAAACAGCAATTGTAATGACGCTAACTGCCTCCAAACATGGTTTCTACCATTACTTTAAATGGAAATACCATGCGACATACCCTGAGTAATTAATACCATGCGACATACCCTGAGTAATTAATACCATGCGATATACCTTGAGTAATTAATACCATGCGATATACCCTGAGTAATTAATACCATGCGACATACCCTGAGTAATTAATACCATGCGACATACCCTGAGTAATTAATACCATGCGACATACCCTGAGTAATTAATTAAAGTTTAAATAGACTTGCAGTTTTCTGTAAAAACGAAAAGGATAAACAACATTGATACATTTGAATTTGATCTTTCTAATATCATAAAACATTATATAAATAAAGGTGGTTTTGAAGGAATTCATTGGTATGTGTTTCATGGTCACTCATAACCTAAATCAGTCTTACATAAATTCCGTAAAACAATATTTATTGCTTATTCTTCCAATGAAATTTGAATGCTTCAAAATTAGTTTCGTATAAAAATGAACTGATATTAAAAAAAAAATAAATTATCTGCATAAGATGTGTAAATTTTTCAGTGCTCTTGCCGTTGAAAACAGGATTGGCAGGTTACATGAAACATAATCATTATAAAAATGTGCTATTTGTCTGCTGATATCGCGCAGTTAAAATAAAAAACGTTAAGTAAGGACTTATATAAATACACATCCTATTACATATGTGATGACTTGAATAGTAATGCTGTTTGATTGCAACAAAACTATGTCCTGTCAAACAAAAGTACAAAACTTTTGAGAAGCTAGACTTTTATTGATGCATAAACAGATTTTAAATCAACTATCTTTGATTTTTATCAACATGAATAAATATAACATGCAATAAATTAATATAAATAGAATAAACTGTATACTTTTAAAATACTTTAACAGTTTACATTAGAATGATATTGTAAATTGCGCAGAGTTTATAGCACTTGTTTGTTGACTGAGATGTCACGACCCTCATAATTAAATTAAACTACGTCACTCACAGGTGCCCGTTTTTGCCGTAATTAGCTTATGTGACAATCGCGAAATGGAAGAACAAGAAAAAGCAGCTATTGACAGAAATCATGATTTATTAATAAATAATATAATATTAACGGAGGAATTTTATAATCAACTAAGATGGAATCAAGTTCTACCAGAATCAATGATCACTGATGTGCAGGTATGTCATTATTTTTTTTTAACTGAGATCTTGTATCTACTTTATTCTAACAGTTGATTTTTTTTTTTATAATTTCCCATAATTGATATTTTAACACATGTTCCCATTTTTCATGAGAAATCATTGCTTCATTCATGCAACAAACTGAAATGTACTGTTTCTATTATTCGTCATTTACTTTATTTATTACAGATTTCGTTTTTCTAGATGAAGATAAAGTTCTACGTGTATCTTAACAGATTAGACTATAGATATAATCATCTCATGTTTACTAACTGTACTTTAACTTGAAGCTTTTTGCATAAGGAAAACCTGGTTTTATTTATTAAAAAAACATTTTCTCACATGGAATAGTTATGATATTATCAGTCTTTGCTCTTATCCCTATACCAACGTTAATACTTCGTGCTTATGATTATACTCAACTTATCTTTAAATGTTTTTAATTTTTGTTACAAATGAACAGTCTTTTTTCCCCTTAGTATTATATAATCTATAGTTTGACTCAAGCGGTTTATTATCAGTCTTTGCTATTACCCCTATACCAACGTTAATGCTGCGTGCTTATGATTATTCTCAACTTATCTTTAAAGGTTTTTAATTTTTGTTACAAAAGAACAGTCTTTTTTTTCCAGTGTATTATATATATGCATTTATCTGCTACCACACCATCCATCTACAAACAGTTACTTGTAATATAGACATGGATTCAGAATAACTTAGAAGTAACGTAACCTAACTTCATATGTGTGACGGATGACTATGTACACCGAAAACACAAGAGTTGTCCTCCTTTTACTAAAACCAAACACCGTGCCTCTTTTTATAATACATTAAAAGGATGACAGTAATAAGGCCAAAACAATTATGTGTGTTTCCTATTTCACCAGTTTAAAAATAAGGGTAGGTAGGCAGGCTTTTTTTTCTTTTTTTTTGTGGATGGGTTTGGGGTGGGGGGTAGATAGATTCGGCTCTGACTGAGTGGGTGCTATTTACATAGGTGTATGGTTTCCATTCCATTCACATAATCGTATTTTTAGCATTCATGTGTTGATAATAGCGACCAGGGCTCACACTACTTTAGAATAATAAGGAGAAGTGTCTTCTCTTTTTGAAACGGACAAGGAGAAGTGGTGAGACTTAAAAGAGAAGTGCTCGTGGCGTACATGTTTGGTTTTTAAAATAAATAAAGGCCACTATATGTATCCTATTTTTTTTTTTATATTGTTCAAATATTACCTGAGAATACAATTAAAGCAACAGTTGTTTCAGTTATGTCGTAAATTGTCATTTATAGTTACACACTTATCACAATTATATTTCCAACCTCTTGTCAGAAACTACCAACTAAATATAGATAGACTACATTATTTAGAGAACTTTTTATTTATACCAAAGAGGAAAAGAAAGTTTCATATATTGATTTAGATTCAATGAGGTAAACTATTCTGTTTATGAAATTCATTATTTCTAATTAAAAAGATATATAAATTTAACAAATTTAAGCATCTTTATCAAAATTACCCGAACTATTGAACACTACAACAAAAACACCAACCACCAAAGACAAACAACAACGAACAATATAGCCTGACCTGATAGTGCAAGGACAAAATGTGGTGGGGTTTAATAATTTTTTCAAGTTTGCACAAACCTTTACTAGTGTGAGTGGTCAATGTTTGGTGAAAGTTTTTTCAAAAGGCAAACACTGGATCATGACACATAATCCCTAGAAATGCTTACTTGTAAATTTAGCTTTTTTACTCCAATACATTGCAGGCATGTAAGACGAAAGAAGAAAAAATAAAACATTTATTATACACACTGAAATTAAGAGGATCTGATGCTTTCCGGAAGCTACGACATGTACTGCATATCACAGGCCATAATTTTCTAGCAGACCAACTGTATGAAGAAGGTATATTATCTTTATTATGTAGGTTTTTTATATAAGAATACCGGTATAGAAATAACACCGTAAGCAGCGCAAGTGCTTATTCTGATTTTGAAATTCCCCCTAAAACAAATACGACTTGATAAATGAGAGATGATATTTATGAATGAAAGGAGTTGAAGGATTTATTAATGTCAGCAAAATAGCATTGATTGTCAAGGATTGAAATTTCTATTGGAAAGCCATGATATGTAACCATCAATAACTATTTTCATTTTTAAAATACACTAGCGATACACTTACATAAAAAAAAGAAAGATACAAGAAAAAGTCACAAAAATCACATTGTCGTAAAAGATCGTAAAAGAAGAACAGCAAGACATAACACATGGGTTTGGCTTTTATTCTATAAGAATAGAATAGAGAATGGAAACGGAGAATGTGTCAAAGATACAACAACCCGACCAAAGAGCAGAAAACAACCCAAGGCCACCAATGGATCTTCAGCGCAGCGAGAAAATCCCGCACCTGGAGGCGGGTTTCAGTTGGCCCCTATATAAACAATAATGTATACTAGTTCAGATAAATGGACGCCACACTTCTCCGAAACATACAAATGAACCGAAATTTAAAAAACACACAAGACTAAGAAAGACTAGAGGTTCCTGACTTGGAACAGGCGCAAAGGCGGGCTTAAACATGTTTTGTGAGATCTCAACCCTCCTCCTTGACCTCTAGCCAATGTGCCAATACGCGCAGTAAAACTAAGTTTAAAAGAAGTCTGAATCTGATATTAAAATAGAAAACAGTAGAAAGTAAGCAAAATGACAATGATCAACATAGATTAACAAAGGACTACTAGCAGTTACTGACGTTCCAGCTCCTGACCTCAATTAAACTGAAAGAAAGATTATGTTTTCGTCATGTGAAGACTTTATATTAGTTCAGTGGCAGTTTATGATAACAGTGTACTATAAAGTTATGTGCTTCATAATCTTTGGGCGTTTTCGCACAGTTTGGAGGGGGACACTTAAATTTTAAATGTTCTTGATACTGAAATTTCGGAATTGGAACAGAACAAAATAAAACAACCAAGACAAACATGCAAGTCTGACCCAGGCAAGTACCAACGAGCACCAATACATAATAAAACCAAATTCTGTTTTTCATTCATTATTTTTTTTTGCAGATAACGACGTCAGTATTATCAAGGCTAATGATCTTTTTAACAAGTTTCCATCCATCTTCAATCAAGTCTGTGATGATCTGAAAAGTAAATTTATAAAATACCTTGAAACTAAGGTAAGAACACCTAGTAGCCACATTTACCACACAAAGTGGACTTAACACTGGCGAATAAAATGCAAAATAAAAACAAATGGCTAAAGATGCAACCATAAGATATACCTTTGACCAATTCTTTATCTTGCATATTGTTCTTGTGACTTCTTCGCTACATTTATTGAGTTATGATGAATGGCTATTGTGTCTGTAATGAAGCATATACGAAACGGTTCTAACATGTACCGTAACTATTGACCAATTTTGCGGAACAATTTCACAGTATTTTACAATTGATGTGTTATGACTCTAAAATCAAGTAAAACTGTAACTTATCGTGGAACAAGTTTCCTTGGAAAAAGAAATAGAGGACAACTCCTTTGTTTTTTACATTAATTTAAAATTTTGTACAAATTAAGGACACGGCAATCCCGAAATGAATTAAATGAAGACTGTTCTCATTTGATTTTTATTTAAATACAGGTAAAAGAAAAGGCCCTTGCAAAATTTTGGAACAGGTTATCGTTAGAGAGATTGGAGGGACTAGAGAATAAGAAGACATGTTTCCTGCAGGAAAGGGACATGAGAGTTAAACTTGAAAATAAAAGAAAACAGGTATAACTGTCATAGTGTTTCTTTCTTTCTTTTTATTTTGTAAAATGAAGTACTATATACCTTGAGACTACTATTTCCAGATAATTTTATTTGATTTTTTTTCCAATTGAATTCCAAAGTTTTTGTCATTTTTAAAAATGTTACACGTTAAACATGTTAAAGGTATCATAGTTCTTTAGTAACATTTTGATGTTTGAATTTAATAGGGAACCTTAATTTAATTTTTTTGACTGTTTTGAAACATGGTAAGGTGAGTATATTAAACGTGTTTGCAGTATTTCTGATATCATCATTCAAAGTTTAGATTTGAAAAGCCATTTTGAAACTTGTAAACGTTGCACTATATTGATTGCTTCATGTTCGTCTGCTGAAATAAAGTCTGGAACGTTTTTTTTTCAAATCCAGATTGTCATTGTGCGTGATTTTCCGGGTCCTATAATTTTTCTGTTTCGATAATTTTGAGTATCTTCTTCTTCCTCCTCTTAGTTTAAACAATATTTTACTTTTCAAAACTACACAAATTACAATTATACAATAGCAATACAGGAATTCGGAAACAAGAAAAACATATATAAATCCTCCTCTTATTCAGAGTATACGTAAATTCTGAGAGTTTTAGTTAAACCAAACATAATACGCATGGGAAAAATACAGTTTGGGTATTTAGGGAACGACCATTCAACTTTACGAGGGGGAGGTTGGGGGGGGGGCGGGCTTTATTCATTCTAAAAACAATATTTCGTACCACGCAAGCATCACATTATTCAAATTTTTGTCACGCGATTTTTTTTATAAGAACTTAATATTAAACTAAATGGCAAAAAATCTCAATTGGAATTTTTTTCCACCCTTTAATCAAAATACTGTTTTCTTAAAGTTTTGGTTCAAAATATTTCTTTTTGAAAATAAACATAACCTAATCCTCCCCTCAGACAGAGTGGCTCGGGAAGCTTAATTTAGAACATGATATGCTATATACATCCACTTTATTTGAACTTTGGTGGATAGTTGTCTCGTTGGCAATCATACCACATCTCCTTATTTTCATATCTACTAGAAAAAACTCGCGCGAGCGCGGCTTGAAGACTACTTGAAATGTTTATGGTGATACACAGCTTGGGTTCGTGTTTCTCAAACTGTTTTTATGCACTGATGCATTATGTTGATAGTTTTTATTAATTTGTCAGTTCTTCTTCCATAGGAGTTTGAATGTCCAATTAGTAGCTTCTATTTCGGTGTTACACAGGTGTTCCTAGAACGGAGGAAATAACTCAGAGAAGAAGAAGACAACCTAGAACACTGATGATTAAAACATTTCTCAGTAGTGCTAGTTTGTAGTATTTCTTGTTTTTCGAAAGGGGCGAGTCAAGTTCTGTCTCTGTGTGACACGGGTGCTCTGAAAAAGGAGTAATTTACTAAGAGAAGAAGAAAACAATCAAATGATTAAACACATTTCTTCGAGTTTGTTATATTCCTTTTTTTAAGTGGTTTGAGTTGGCCGTGGGCCGAGTTGTCGGGCAGTACGTCGACTGAGCATGCGCGAAAGTTTATAAGACACGGATCGATAACGATCTCCGAATTTAGATATTTTCTCAAAAATGGGCGTTTTCTGTGGAAAAAAGATTGTTTCAAAGACAAATTTAGGGAGTACAAAACACTACATTTATACGTCATATCACAATTATTTCCGACTTTGTATGGTTTCAGAGTAGTTGCGGCACAATGAAATCGGTCTTTTCCTTTAGCAGTATAGATACCCAATGAAAACACACAAAAAAAACCCCAACAATTTTCCAAGTGTTTTCATTGGGTTTAGAGCAGCGTTCTAGGTTAATATGCCACAACCCCTAGCTGTGCCCAAGAGTTTTTAAATGGTCGTTCCCTAAAGACAAGATTAATACGTTGCTAACTGTTGACAAATGCATTTTTCAGGTGAGTTGTCTGAAGGAGGAATTATCGGACATGGACGAAAAATTAAGGAAGAGAGAACTGGAAATTCAAGTTTTTGAAAAAGAAAGAGATGAAACAAGAAAGAGGTTTAAGACGGAGCTTGCAGTTCAAGCTAGATTTAATGCAGCAAACAATAGTTCAATAATCAGACTTAGGGAGAAATTCGTCTCTTTTAACGAAAAGGTTAAAATTTTAAATCGGCAAATTGCTGAATTTTTATCAGTAAACGAAAATTTAAACGATAACCAGGATAACGAAAAACTTTCACGATTAGAGCAAAATGTTAAAACAATACTTCATATTGTAAAGCAACAGCAGGATACAGTAGAAAGTAAGACGACGGAACGTGAATCAGTTCTTGCTCTTCTTAAGAAATCAACAAACAAGTCTGAGCCTCTGTCTGATATAGTCAAACGTTACTTAGAAAGAGAGGAAAAAGCAAAATCCATTGTTAACAGGGAAATAGAGAAGCTGATCGAAATTCTACGTAAATCGAACAAACCGCAGTATAAAAACAAGTCAAATGCTGGTACTGACATGAAACATCTACGAAACATGGTAGCGACTGTCCGAGTTGAAGTGGAGCATCTGAAGAAAAAGTTGGAATGGAAAGACGACCAAATTACGGATTTAATCAAAGAAACCATGATGCTTAGACAATATCAGAAGACAAAGGATGATAACACAGTTAGTGAAACCTTGAAAGGGGCCATTGTAACCTCACCTGTATCATCCCCGGATTCTACTTATGAAATGCAATTGGCATACAAGAAGTTTGATAACTATCTGGCAAGTAACCCAGCACTTCCGAATAGAAATCGCCGTCGTGGGTCATTAGCAGATGTTGACTTGGAACCAGACCCTGACGAGACAGACATATCATTTGTCGATAAAAAAGATTATCAGGGACCAGAAACACCACGTGTCAAGTTCCCTGAATTAGAATTGACTAAAAGTGAGAACACTCCTAGATCTAAGACGTTTTACCGAAGGTATTCTGAAATGTCTGAACAAGATCTAGCAACAATACTAGAAACTGACGACAATGTAGAATTTGAGAAGCTAATGACACTCATCGCCAAGAAAACACAGCCAGCAAAATTACCACTTATCTGCAAAGACGCAATGTCAGTCGATTTTTCTCGGGAATCACTTGGAACTGATAACATTTAAATCGTGGTGTTTTTTAAACGACTGTTTGTTATACTTACAATTTTCGACACGCGTTACCCTTTCAAGAGTGCATTGTTTTGTTGTTTACCAATTAGACATACCATATTAATTTAATACATTAAAGTGATTAGTGTCTAACAATAAAAAAACCCATTAAACTTACACGACAGCACGAGCCTGTAACTGTTAACATGAATTGTCTAAGTTCCAATCTGAGAAGACACAGATCTCAATCTAAAGTACTCTTTATGCATAATAGTTGCAAATACAAGCATGCTGTTGTAAATAGTACAAGTCATAGGTACTTCATACATATATCCGCCCTGAGGTGAGATTTGAGTTACTCAGTGTATATTTTTGTGTGGTTGGCGGTTGCTAAGTTTTGTCTTGTTTTGTTATTTTGTATATTTTTATTATGATGTTTTTGTGAAGGTTTTGGTTTCTGACTGCTCTCCTTGGTATTTTTGAACTTTGTCTTTTTCTAGATTTTTTATTGGCCCCTTGGAATTTTCATTTTTTTTTATTGTGCAATGTAACGCCTGTACCAAAACAGGAATATAGCAGTTGTTTTTCACCTGTTCCGTTGATTAATAGCTTTTAATCTTGTCAGTTTTTTATGGACTTCCCCCTTTTTGAATTTGACTGCACATAACCTCGACTAAGCAGTTCATGCGACATTTTCTCAATCTTTAATGATTCTGTGTTGTGGTTTGTGCATTGTTCTTTGTGGAAGATGTCATATTTTTGTCGATGTTGACCACTAGGAAATACGATGAAGTGCTGCACACAAAGCAAGATATCTTTACCAATCTGTAGCACCTAGTATCATTTCCGGTTTCGGTTTGGAGATCATATTGACCGATAATTAAGAAGTTCGTTTCCAACCTGTCTTGTTTGTCTTTGGAAAATTGTGATATGTTTAGACCATATCCAATGTACTACTTTCTAAAAGGCTTAGGGATGTTCAAAATGGTAAACGGTTTCTGCTCCACCACTGGCACTAATCAGGTTGTTCAAGGTAAGTACAAACCGGGAGATAAACAACACTTGACGATAGTCATAAGCTTAAGCAGAGAACCAAAACATCACCTTAACAGGATCAGAAAGACAAATTATTCCTTTCTTTTTTACTTATTTATAATGTTCCAATGCTGATTTTTTTAATGAACAGCTGGATAGATTTCCTTCTGATACAAAACCTTATGTTCATTTATATATAAATAAAAGTATAACAAAAATACTGAACTCCAAGGCAAATTCAAAAAGGGGGAAGGCCGTAAAAACTGACAAAATTAAACGCTATCAATCAACGGACCAGGTGAAAAACAACTGCCATATTCCTGTTTTGGTACAGGCATTTTCCGAAGAAAATAGCATACTAAAAGAGTTTCGTTTTAACATTCAACTATTACATGTCATTCTCTTCTCGATCACTAGTCGTTTAGTTTCTTTTGGAGATCAGACATATATGTTGTATGTGTTCCATTCGGTCAAACAGGCATTGTGCTACAGATCATGAACATCTTTAAATGTCAAGTAATTGAACGGTCTATATTTGCATAATTATTTTCGTACATTTGTGCATTATTAAATGTTGTACCAGTGAACTACAGGGTGCCTACAGGAGCTTTCAGAATGATAGTACACCCTAACAAAGATTTGACCTAATGCCAAAAAGAATTTGATGCCAAAAAGAATTTGAAACACTTATAATTTTGGTATAATTATCCGATAATCATTCTATGTGAGTCAAGCTTGAGAAGAATTGTATCCCGTGAGAAATTATGCCATTTGCTTTGGTAAAAGTTCTTTTTTTTTCATTAACTTTACGTATATTTTCAATCAATATGAGTTTCGTTTATCGTTAATGGGGTCGTACATCATGACCGAAATAACTGTAGGTCAACATGAAGTGATCACAAAAGACAAACATTTTTTTTCTAGTAAAATGCTATTTCCAAATTTCTAGATGTTGGTCAAGCTATGAAGCAGTCTTAACTATGTATGTGATATCCTTTATTTTAAGTTCATTGGAATAGACGCTGTTAACATAGTGACCAATCTTTATTACATTATCTAGTGAAATGACATCATCTATAACGCAACGTTAACAGTTAATGCCGGCTTCTTTTATTTTTCTTCGTATGCTTTTATATAAAGTCTGCTTCATACGAAATAAGGAACTTGTCGGTAAGTAGGAGGGTTCCAATAGGAATGCCGGTCGGCTGTATAAAACACGTCCTTCGAACGTACACAAATGGTGTCAATAACACAATCTTTCATCTAGATAATGTCAGTTTTAGTGAACTTTTTATTTGAAACAGAGTTTTTTTTACAAAGTATGATTTATCCTATTTGTTAATTAGAATTGAGAAATACCTGTGTAGAGAGTAGAATAAACATCATTTTTCACCACTGCACGAGGAGGGGACTTAGATTGTTAGTACATATCTTTTGATTTTTTTAGTAAACACATCTGATGCACATCGCCCATAGATAAGGTAGCTCCACAGTTTAATAGAAGTTCCGTCACGTGTAGCATTTGACAGACACATCAATATAAATTGTTTGTTATTTTTGTATCCAGTAGAGTGAAGGAAGATTCAATATTCTTTATCTTTGGTTGAAAACCAAAACAGAAATAAAACAGACCTATGCTTGTTCAAAATTTCCTCTTTAGTATGTGTTGGAGTACCGGAAAATGTTAGGTTTCCGAGTTGATTGTAAACACCTTATTCTTATAACGTGATTTTCAAACGATATCATTTAGAGCTTTGTGTGCGGGGACAACAACATATTTGTCATCGAGGTAGGAATAGTATTTAACAACATTTTAGTATTGATGATATATGTTGCTTGAGTGTTCTGTTCATATACCAATTATGTTTTCATCCTTATTTGTATCAACTAACTCACATCTTTTACCTATGGAGAAAGAATATCTACATCTGTTTCTCGTTTCAGATTTTTGATTCGAGTGTCACTGATGAGTCTGTTGTAGACGAAACGCGGCCGGTCGTACAAAATTTTAATCCTGGTATCTATGATGTATTTATTTGCCCGCTGTCTGACATAATATGGACTGAACCCATTAGTTTTTTTTAATTGTTTTTTCCATTTTCTAGTTTTAAGATTTGCCCACGGTATTTCGGCTGTTTTGATAACACATGTTGTTGACGATGTTTAAGGGGTAACCAATATTTACGTGGTCAGTCGAATTATATATGAATGATATATCATACAGGTGCAATCAGATGGCTAAGACTTGAATTCATCAATATTGAGATTCTGCAACACATAAATGTAGTTCAAAATTTTGATCGCAATATGTACAGTATAGTTATAAGAGATGACTGGCACATACTGATCTTTGTCGTATGGAGGTATTTTAGATTTCGTAGATTGATGTTGAAGGATATTGTCTATATTGATGACTGCTAGTCCATTAGTTGCCAAAAATGTTTTAGAAAGGACCTTCTCTAATGATAATCGGTCTGAAAAGTCTGTGATGGTCAATATCCATGCAATTGTAAGCTGTAAGTTTGGTTCGTGTTGCTCAATATTTGATGTGTTTTGTAGACTTCTGTATGTTTTATCGTCGTTTGTTTGTTTGTTTGTTATTTTTTTAACGAAAACAAATATTTTATTCAAGCAATTCTTGATATATAATGCCTAAGTAGCCCAGGATGCACACTTAAGGACCACTGTATTTTTAACAGCCTCACTTGACCGGGAAAAAATCAAATGAGTTTAAACTCCCATAGTTTTACATGTTTGAATAACCAGCATAATTGTTGTAACCTAATACGCCTGTCGTCGTTTTATTTTTTTACCTTTAGGTTGTTAGTTTGTCTCCGTTGTTTGATATAGTCTAACGGGTGGTTTTATTAGGTTTTACGGACTTCCCCTGAATTTACCTTGGAGTTATTTTAGTGAATACATTTATGCGTTTGAATATCCCTCTGGTATCTTCCGCCACTCTTGTATTGCTTAGGATGGACATTTTTGACAGCGGTTTCAAAACATAATTTGAACCCCCGAAAAAAGTTCTGAAAGTAGTAGTTAATAGATGTGGTGCTTACCAAACAGCTATTGTATAAAAGGTAGAAGGTCCTGCAGAGAGACATTACTTAGAGTAGGTGATGTGCAATGACAATGACTACGGCTGCGTCTTCACCGATGGACAGAATTGCAAATATTCATCACATTCAAAGAACTTCAGAAGAACTAGATTGAATATCTATACCATACATTTTATCATGACCAAAATACGATGTCGCAGTTCCTGAATCCATAAATCTTCGTTTTGTCTACGGATAGGTGTCTAAAGTGAGGATTGTTAGTCCTGTGGTATTTTTCTTTCGTGTAGAAAGGGTTGAAATGTCAGAAAGGTTGAATTGTTGATAAACTACTACTAGTATGTCATAATTGATATTGATATTATTATTGCACAAGTTTGTAGTCATCCAGAACTGCGTATACACATCGCCTTTTCCCCTATTCTATGAGGTGTTCTGATTGATGTTTAAGATTCTTGTATATGTTGTATGATTTGATATAAAAAGAGTAAGCAAAACCGTGTGTCGAAGAATGGCAAAAAATACAAAAGATGAAAAAGACTAACAGTCAATAAAAAGTTCAGAGAAAACTAGAGATAAATATTGCGCGAACATGTATTACGTAGCCAGCCATATTATGTATGCAGCAGGAACTTGCACATGTGCAATCGAGTAGTTTGATCCTGGAATCTTCAAAATTGAAATGTGTATTCACTAGTAGTTTACATTTTTTTCGCAAGTGTGGTATAGATGCAAGGGATGATTGGAACAGACTGATCCTAAACCTAGGAAGGTGTTTAGATTTGAATAATCTATTATGAAATATTGTCCTAATCGACGACATAGAGGCCGTTATTGGTAAAGGAACGTTTTGGAAATGATGGTTTATGTAGACGAAACGCACGGCACGAGAACAATTATAATTGTTCAGAAGCGTTTCATATGCACCGAGGCCAATTATTTTGTACTTTCATAATTTCTTACCATCACACAGCTCGAGAATTCTCTGTCAATAAAAATTAGGTTTAGCTAGCAGGTTTAACCCACCATTTTCTACATAAAGAAATGCCTGATCCAAGTCAGGAATATGACAGTTGTTTTCCATACGTTTGATGTGTATGAGCTTTTGATTTCGTCATTTGATAAGGGACTTTTTGTTTGAAATTTCCTCGGAGTTCGGTATTTTTGTTATTTTACTTTGTATGTAATTCTTATAAATCTCAGTTTCAACTCCATTGCTGCAATTGAATTTTCTGCAAGAATGACTTTTGTAAATTCTACTATCAGAGCCACACTTTTAGTACCTTTAGTCAATTGGAAGAACTCAGACAAAACATACAGTGTTTCCATCAAGTGAATAGCTATAAGGAACCCATTCAATGTTTGATACTCACAGGCACTAAAGGGAAGAAAACAATTATAGGCAAAGAAATAAATACGTGTAATAAGTATGCATATACTATTAACAGATTTTAATAGATGCGTTTTATTTTAGACGTTTTAATATTGTACTGAGTATTTATACCGAACCGAAAAGGACACTCGGAAATAAACGTATAAGTTGTTTGCATGACTATATGTCGTAACATTGATAAAAATATTTCTAAAACATATCCCAAGTTTTTGTTTGTATATAATCATGTTTAACGCTAAAAGAACAACCTCTCATATTTTGCTGCATAAGCCTATCTGATGATAAAGCTATATGATTGGGATAGTCCGATGATGAGACTATCCGATTAAGATAGTCCTAAGACGAATTTATCCTATTGGGATGTTCCGATGATGATTCTATCCGATTAAGATGGCCTGGTGATAAGTATAGCCGATTAGTATGGCCCGATGATGAGTCTATCCGATTAAGATGGCCCGATGAAGAGTATATCCGATTGGGATGGTGAGATGATGAGCATATTCGTTTAGAATGGTCCGATGATGAGTATATCCGATTTGGATGGTCCGACGATGAGCATATCCGATAACGATGGTCCGATGATGAGCCTATCCGATTTGGATGATTCTCTGTACACATTATCATATAAACTCTTTCCAGCTATAATGTTCCACTTTAAAACATAGTGCATACAGCCTTTTCAATTAGGAAGTTTCACTTTTACAACATACTGAATTAGGCTTTCCAGTTATGATGTTTCACTTCAAAGACACGCTGAAGAGTGTTTTCCAATTATTATACTTATTTGAATATATATACACAGTTATAATGTCTCACTGTGTAACATACCGTATATAAACATTCTGATTATGACGGTGAACTATTGAACCTTGCAGCTTATGACGGTGAACTGTTCGTCCTAGCAGCTTATGACGGTTCATTACACATTAAATACACTTTTGATAGTCACGTAGTGAGCTTTCCACATTTTGGCTTTTCCGTTTTAGGGCATACTTTTACAGTCTTTTTGACCATGATAGTTGATGATCATATATAATATATAAAACGCAGGGTTTAGTCTGTCAAAAACCCGAAGCGAAATTCAACACAATGCATGTAGTTCTGACCAATTAAGTAGCTTCAACTTAATTTAAATTCAAAATTTTAAATTTATTTCCATTTGTCCCTAAACGATTATTTTCATCAAATATTGGCAAGTTTTATTACTTGATTCTGATTTGCGAATTTTATCACAATGGTTGCAATATGTCCTTGCTTTCATTCACTTATCGTTCCATATTTTAAGCTACTTCAATTTAAGCCAATCCTACAGTATTATATGTGTGGCAGGACTTCCACACTATGTAATTCACAAAAGTTCATCTCTTGGTAAACAAATGTACAACTGAAATCATGTATTTAAATATAAATTCACAAAGACTCTTACATTGTTTTAGAGTAATAATTATGACTCATTATTTACAGTGACATTTATTCGCATTGACCGCATGATAGTTTTGTGGTTTTCACACACATCGATATCCTTTTTCAAAAATAAACCATTATTCAAGTTTTGAATATTGTAATTTGACATTGATCGAGTACAAACTTGAAACGGAACTTAAAAGTGCAAGTGCTGGAATATGATTTTAAGTTTTCGCATGCCACCATCTACTATTATGATACTGAGCGGTATAAAATCATTGCAATTTTTATTGTCCATGCTGTTTGGTAATTATATTAAGTCAGAATACAATGAAAGATTGATGATCTTTTATCGTACATCCCCTCATCTGATAGGTTTTAACGTGCCTCAGTCGGTTAATTCTAGTACGCAAACTTCCTATGAATTCTGGAATAGAGCGTCATTTGTAAGTTTTTCAGTAATATTGATCGCGTGATCATGTGTTAATCACTTTCAATAATACCGATCTTTTCTCCTAACCATCGAAACTTTGCCCGAACTTCTTCTTGCATTAAATTAAAACACATGGCAATCATAGACAATCCAAATATAAGATATACACTACATATGATCATCTTTTCCTGATTATCAAAAGATCCGCTGTTTGATCCCGGTACAAAATCACCAAATCCTATTGTAGACAATGTTATGAAACAGAAATAGGATCCGATTAATAAATCCCAATCGTCTTCCCAAGTAGCAAAAATCACTGCCCCTGCTAAAATGTAAGATCCTATCAATAACAAACTAACAAAGATCGGAACACGAACTCGTTCTTCCTTTCCAGCATGGTAACCTTTGACCTTATTATCGTTTTTGTTAAGGTTGTTGATGTCAAGTTCTGGAATGTTGGAGAGATTCTTTGATCGTCGTTTCGCATACCACTGGGCTTGTTGTGGACAGCATAAACATATAACTATTTTACAAAAGTGTTTGTATAAAAACCGAAAGCAGTTGCCCATCGAGCTTCCAAGATTTGCTAGACACAATAACGTAAGAGGAATTCCAAAAATAGCATAAACTATGGTGATGAGACGGCCTAAATTGGTTTTTGGAGCTGTGTTACCATAACCTGTAAAATTGAGGTAATTAATTAAAAGGTTAATCAACCATTTGTATTTCAAATTTAAACATTACACTTGTCATACTTGGATAAATGTTAACTTGAAATTAAACTTGGATAGACTCATAAAATAATTTTTATTTATTACTGAACAGTCGATGCTGTCAACCATTGAAAATCAATACAAAGCGTTATTTTATTCTACATCTTTTCATGCTATTTCATCAAATGATCATCGTGCAAAACAACTTTATTAACTCGTTGACTTACTCATAATAACGCCTGTCTAATTACTTGAGTTTGTCTGAACTTACAATTTGAATGTACCTGTATAAACCTTATTTCAAATGAGCTATCGCATCCTATTTATTTTACGAGATGTTGTTTATAAAGCTCGTTGATTTAGATCCGATCAATGAAAACGTATTGATCCTTTGAATAACCTTATTCTTAAAGGTTAGAAATCAATTAAACACTGTTGTAAGATCTTTCAATATATTCTTAATTCATGGTCAAATATTGGTTTTGTTTTCAATAAATTAAACGTAACTAAATTTATTCGCTATTGAGGTGTGAACACTTACGGCTCCACATCCTACAGATCCTTATATTTTGGCATCGCACATTGCCATACTTTGACTCAAACTGTTTATGACGTCTTCACAATTCCGTTGGATTGTACCGATTGATATTTTAGTCTGAGAAAACATGATTTATTCAATAGTTGAAATTGGCTTTAAACTAGCTTTCAGTTACTGCAGTAACTGCAAGTATTCTAAGATCGGTACGTTGTCTTTTTATGTTTTTATGGCTATGGTTGTTGAGCTTCGTATCGATCTGATGAGTTAACTTCTATCCAACTGATTTTTACAGTTTGTTCTTATGTTGCGCTGTAACACCATTGTCCAGGTTAAAAGAGTGTTGAATGCTCACAAACTATGTTTACCCACCAAATTCTTTATGTGCCTATCTCCAAGTCAGGAGCCTATAATTCACTTGCTATTGTTTGTCTGTTCGTCTTTTTCTTTTTTAGCCATGGCGTTGTCAATTTATTTTCGACTTATGAGTTTGAATGTCCCTATGGTATCTATCCTTCGCCTCTTTTTTGCTGTCATTTGTTGCTGTCTGTCATATTGTTTTTAGCATATTCAGGACGTTTATTTTCTCCTTTGAATTGCTTCACATTTTATCATGCAAGGGTTTTTTATAACATACTATACGGTATAGGTTTCGCTCATTGCTCATTGACCTACGGTAATTTTTTTACATCCTGGTCCTTTGGTCTCTTGTGGATAGTTGTATCATTATAAATCAATCTTCGTCTCATTATGTTTATACTAATATTTCCTTTTGAAGAGCACACATATATATGACTAACACAGAATTATAAAGAAATGCATTATTGTGTAGAACTCCAACCTTGACAATTAAGTAAGTCAGGCTACTGAAACAATACATAGTAATAGTAATCATTAAAATGATAAGATTGAACCTAGCTGCGGGACCGTTACTCTGAGGTCCTAATGATATTATTTGTCAATTTGCGGACCATAGGCTATGATCGGCACAAATCAGAAAACATAATAAGTACCATTAAGGTTCCGCAGCTAGATTGAACCAAAATCTAGGGTTGCAGCAATTAGTATTATTATTATATCATTCTTTGATATAAAATCTAATTTCGTTGGTTTAAATGAATGAAAAGCAAGTTTCATCAAAAAAGTACTGAAGTTTACCGACCCTATTTCTTCCTTTAAATATAAGGTGTAATATCTCTATTATGTCCCTAAACAAAATCAGATACTTTTAAACGTCAGAGGAAGATTTGATATTATTTGATTCTGTCATTTTGATTGTAGGGAACGTCAAAACACATTCCAAAATAGATATATAATAAACATGTGGATATAAAAACAGATTAGAACAGATTAAACATGTGCTCTAAATTCAAATGAAAGATATATTTTGAAACAGTTTTTGGTAGGCGTTCAGGTTTGTCAACCCTTAACCGAATGTTTTTGTCTTTGGCAAAACACCTCATGAAACAAAAATCACCAGATTGACAATTCGTGTATATTGCCCACTCTCCGGTACAAAAGTGAATATTTATCAGAAACTTAGGGATAATCGACCGCTCATTGTACTTTGAATTTTGAACTTTGTATGAATAATTTATTAACCAATTATTTTGTTCCATAAATTTATTTTATCAGGAATTGTTTTTTTTTCCCGGTTTACTTTAACCTCTTTAAAGTATTATAATTGGAGCGGGAAATAATCATCGAACCACATAGCATGAGGCATAGGGGGTGGGGGCAATTAAGAAACACGTACCTTTTCAAACACCATTAGAAATACAGTCCTTATGTGATGTTCCATGAATTACTTTAGAAAGTGTTTTCCGTTGAGTATTTTATAATGACTGAAGGTTTTGCTAAAAATAACCAAAAACAAAATGAAAAAAAGAAAAAAAAAGCAAAAGAAAAAGAAAAACGAACATAGCGTATATCATTAGGGCTTTGAAGAATGGAACTATTCCAATTTTACGCGACGAAATTGATATATAGATAACTCTATTTGCTCGCACTGTCTCGTGTTTATATTATTGATACTACTTTTACTCACCTATAGTAGTTATAACAGTAATAGAGTATAACAGAGAGCTAGAGAAAGTCCATTGTAACTCCCCTTTTTCTTTTTTACCATCCCACCCTTTCTCCTTTGTTGCCATGTAAATTTCTGTCTGGAATTCTAACAAAAGGCGTTCTGCGTCAATGGTCCAATTTTCTCTACTGAATATATTATGTACTTGTGTTATATTCCATAATTTAGCTATTTTTGATTGTCGTTGACTTTCCACCTGATGACGAATTATTTGCTCTTCGGGTGCCTCGATTTCTTTGAAGATAAATCCTCCCATGACTGCGTAAGCCACTACCAATGAACACAGTCCAATACGAGAGAAGAGAAATGCTAGAAATCGTTTACAACAGTAACAACACCGGTTACAACGACTGCTTTGGTAACTTGACGACGTTGCACGGTTTTGTGTACTCTTCATTTTTTCTGACATGTTTGTACGGTTTCTGTTACGTTTTTTATGACAACATAAACATGCACAACAGCAACATTTCTTTTTCTTGTTTTCATCATGATTTTCTTTCGATTCAAGTTCCTCTTCTTCTATTTCGACCTTTGGATTATCCTTTTTCATTGATATATCCCTCACCGTACTGCTATCGACGGTTATCGTACCGTCTGCTAAAATCGCGTGCACAATTATGTCATCGTGATCATTTTCTTTAACCAATTTTTCTGTTTCATCAGGTGGTTGCTCTTCTTCGTATTTTTCATTGCTTTCCTCCTCATCATATTCATTATTGTTGATATTAATCTGTTCTGGTAATAAATTTACAACCGTCTGATCATTTTGCTCTGCGCGTGCGGACTCCATCTTACGTATGTCGCAGTGGAATGCTTTTCATCGACGAAATTAACGTCACATATAATATACTCTGATCAGCAAATTTAAAGACCCTGATCAGATGTTATTATACTTTATTTCTTTTCACTGCTATTCTAGATGATAGGACCCACGGCTTCATTGTTATGTTGTCTTGCTTCAGTACAAAGTTTAAATTGTGCTAATCGCTACATGACTTTGAACTCTTTTCACAAAACAAGTTGTTACCTTCCTACAAATGAAATCAATAAAAGTATATTATAAATAAAATTATCTTGACATTTGCTTTATCTGCTCATCACCATAGTCATATATAATGTATTATATACCATTTGTATACTAAAAGAAAGTCTGTCGCCATTATTGTCACTATCTATTACGATAATCGACCGGTTTGCGACAGACGAGACTTGGGTACAGTTAGCGGCAGACGCAAAAAACACGTTCTTTGTTTGTTACACAAGTGACCTGCTATCCTGACATTATCGTCACTAACTTTATTTTCATTTAGAGTTATGACTCCTGTGGTTAATTTGTTAAGTCGGGTTGCCATTGTTAATGTGACTTTTAATACAGACTAATGCGTCTTGGTCATATCTGCTACAAAACTACATTTTTTTGTAAAGAATGATGTGTAAGCTTTCAATTCATTTTAATGTGTATAAGATATATGTTATTGCAATGAATACAAACTTCTAGGTTTGATTGAATCACGAGACAATCTGATAATTGTTTCGACTGTTATAGTTTCTCTGTATATGTTTATGTGGAATTATGTCCTTTATTGTCTATCAATGAAATAGGTGTGTGGAGCTGTTATTAAATAAGAGACAGAGGTCACATTGAACACGTTGAAACACAAAGAAATAAAAGTGTTTAATGTCATTAATTAAGAATTGAATACTTCTATCTGTAATTTTATTTGGGTGATAAAGAGTATAGCGAGAACTGTAAAATGTGCGCATGACTAACGCTTTTACAACCCTATAAACCATAAAAAGAAGCATTCAATAGTTATAATTACATTTTTATTCTATAACTATGAACTAAAGAGTTAAATATCAAGCTTTCTGTTTGTTTCTATTTGCATTGTTGTCATGCGGAGCACGTGCCGAGTTTCAATGGGACTCAAAATATTATTTTGGAATGCCGAGCATTTGATGTTTTCCAATCAAAATTACGGATTCTTATGAAACATTTATGTAATGCAAAAGTATGTAATTAAATATCTGTATTTATCATGCTTTACCATGCATTAAAAAAGATCAAATTTGTGAAAGACCCCTCCCATATTATTGAAATATTTCCTTTTGAATCAACCATAATAAAGATACTCAGAATTGGGCTAACGCCATCTGATACTGACACTATCTGATATTGACACTAACGCCATGTGATACTGACACAGTTATCACGGTTATCGTGCCGAAAATTGACTGTTTCAATTCTATCAACCGGAAAGATCATTATTTTTGGATTTATATTCATTCAGTATTTTGAAAGAAAAACCTAAAATTTAAAACGGCAACTACATAGAAAACTAATACCAGAAGACATTAGTGTATAGGAAAATTAATATGTATAATGTTAAAAAATGATACAGCTAAATAATCTATAAATTTTCTTTTTTTTTTTTGTCGTAACCTCGGAACGATGAGGAGTTTGACATACTATATGAACACCTGCCTGACATACTATATGAACACCTGCCTGACATACTATATGAACACCTGCCTATTGCTTAACACTCTATGTTGCACTATTGGTGTCTATGTATTGTGTTGCTATCATTCTTGTTTTTGAGTTATCCCTGATTTGGATATACTTTTTAGATATAAGAAGATGTGGTATGAGTGCCAATGAGACAACTCTCCGTCTAAGTCAAAATTTATGAAAGTAAACCATTATAGGTTAAAGTACGGTCTTCAACACGGAGCCTTGGCTCACACCGAACAGTAAGCTATAAAGGGCCCCAAAAATTACTGTATACTCTAATAGAATTTCAAATGAACATATCTGACGAGATTGGTTCTATTGATTTAAGTCCAGCCAATCAGCAACTAGAATAAACCAAGACAGCCATGTTTGTTGACGAATTAATTTAATTCACTTGGAATGGACTCAAAAAAGCTGGGATTGTTTATGGGCGGACTAGGAAGGACGAAGAACGCAGAGTGATGGCAAAGGATCATATATTGCTGAATATCTGTCTGACAAATAACTACGAATTAAATTTTTCGTAACAAACATTGAATGTCAATAGATGGGTTGTAATTTGTCAGGATCAATACAACCGTTGTCATTAGTGAAACAGGACTAATTACCTAAGGGGGGTACGTTAGTTCGATATCCCGGCTTTTTGGCGAGTTCGTGCTGAATCACTTTATTTTTAAACTATTGTTTTTATTTCTTTCTTTCTTTCGAGTTGTTTGTCCTTCACCGATTTATGATTTTTGAGTCCTGTCTTGTAAACAGTACATTTTTGTCAAGCTTTAAATCTCCCCGTTTCTATACAAGTTCTGAAAAGAGATGTATGACCAATTTCCCTAGTATTTATTTCTTTTAAAACGTCTTTCAAACTTTACTTTAGGTCACAGTATCATGCTTTATGCGTGTACTTTGATGTTCTTATAACGTTAACTACATACCAAATTTACTGCACCAGATCTAACAATGGTATTGCTTATTTCTAAACATATAATAACAATACGAATGCACTTAGAAACCTTTTTCAGTCGAAAAGATAAGTTTTACTTTAAAATTGAATTTTCTTCACAGTTAATGAAAGCAATCCCATTATCCAATTCCTCTTAACATTCTATTATTGGTCATTGTACTTCCAAATAATTTTTCTGAAGCAATATAAAAAGAAAATACAATACAAAAACACTTGATATTATGTAATGTCAATGGTAGATTGATGTACAAAATGTCAAGATTCTGTTCAGAAAAAAGAAATATTTGAAGGACAATGAACACAATGCGTTATGAAGGATATAATATAAAAGCATGTGAGTGGTATTTCAATATTTCTTCAATTCCTGTAAGTGAACTCATACTTCTACAATACATCTCTCTATTTTCAATACAATGGAGTTAAAAAATTTCACCGTTTCATAACCAATTCTATAAAAAGGGATTATTGTGTAAGAATTTAAGTAGTAAGTTAATTTCATTGAAGTCAACGACTTCACTGCCAACTCGTACATATCAAACCAATTGAAAAGTTAAAATTCAAAAGGCGCCAAAAAACATCAACACCAAGGAAAGGAAAATCAAAAATAGAAAGAAGAAAATTCGTCAATCAGGTCTGGAGAATACCGTGACAAATTTTATGCCAAGGTTTAAACAAACTTATAAATCACTTAACGTTGGAAAACGAAAAGTTTGTTGAAAATGTTTCGTTGATAAAATCTTTAAAATCTGATTTTTTTTTAGACAATATTTGACGTTATCGTTGAAACAATTACAAAGTAGTGACAATTCGGTATAGGCAGTAACGCATAACAGTATATAAAAGGATTAAATCTTTTTTTTTAAAGAGAATACACCCTAGAAATGATTAATACTGCCATTTAATGATTTCATATCTCCTTTTATTCACATTGTCATATTTAGTGATGAAGCAAGATCTGTAAATCATACACTATGATAAACGATTTCACAAATAATATTTTTTGATTCACGTCGTCATAAGATGGGCGATAATATATATGGTATAATATGTATCATCATATCATCACGTTCCGCCCTCTATGAGGAGCGATTGGGTTTACATTATGTAACTACGATCTCACGGGAGTAACGATATGCTTTTATTTTTTATAAATAAGGTAATAAACTGTACATGCGATATTACTTTATTTTCGCCTGGGATTTGATTATTTCATTAAGCGTCGTTGCTAACTATACTGAACCACTCCGTTGAATGCCAGAAACCTGTGATAGAAAACACACGATTTACAGTCATCTTAATACATGAAAACATTGTAAACAGGCAATCAAAGTATTAAAAAGACTTCATGAGTTGTTACATCGAATGGTTACACTCCTTGAGTACGACGATATGGGCTGGGTACACACATTCATATATACCTTTATGTTATAGTTACATCACCGTTGTGTTACGTAAGATTGTGTTAATAATAAATATAAAAGTCGACTAAATTGATATTTTCGATTGGATTGTATGGATTTATCTATTTTAGGAACGTTCAGATCTAAAAGTTTGTTCAGCTTATAAGGGATATACGTTATGATACTATTAATGGTTTCCCATTTTAACTGCACCAGATGCGCATTTTGACAATTCAAGTCTCTTGAGTAATGCGCGAGGCCAAATTATTAGAAGATCTGAAACTAATACAAATGTTAAAGAGGTAATAAAACCAAATAGGACCAGAAAGGGTAGCAAAACCCAACCAAGGAATCAGAGCTATGCGTGATGGGAACTAATTCTTTAATCTAAAATGGTTTCCAAATTTATAACGGAAACTTGAATAAAACAATATCCGTATTTTCATGTCAGTACTGAAGTACTCGCTACTGGGTTAGTGATACCCTCGGGGACTAACAGTCCACCACCAGAGGTATCGACAGTGGTTGTGATGACATTAACGGTACCTATGACATATATAACTAAACGGAGGGTTAGCTTTCTCACTTAAATTCTTTTATGCCTTGTGTAGTTTTCGGCTTTACCTTGTGTAGTTTTTATTTTTACATTTGGTAGTTTTAGCTTTCAACTTAACATTGTGTAGTTGTCAGATTTGTCTTGGCTAGGTTCCAGCTTTACCTTGATTAGCTGCAACCATAGTTTTTTTTAAACGTTACAAATTTGATCGGTCAGCTAAGAATTCAAAGAATCATACATTGTCAAAAATCACGTGGTCTAAAACAATGACTTAGATGCGAAATCTTTTTTATCCTGCAATCAGCCAACTTTTGTTAAAATAACAGGTATACAAATACATTTTTGCTACGAATTTATAGTGCGAATTTCGTCTTTTAGTATGAAGCTATTTTTTTGAGTTAACGGTAATATTAAAGTTCATTTTGTGAACCTCCAAGCGGTCATCTTTTCAAAATGTCCTCTGAAACCCAAAAAACAAAGACAACGAACGATTGGGAATTAAAACAATAAACGCTTAAGTGTCTATGCTTGATTCAATTCAATTTTACTTCCAGATGTTCAAA